CATCCTACACTCCTGTACATTCCATGATTATTTACCAACAGGACCATTTCCGGGCACTGAAGGACACTTGGCATCCTTGCCCCCCCCGTTAGGACTCACCCTCATTAATTTTGAAAGATTAAAAAAGTCTCTCTCGTAGATGAGAAAGGACTGACTCCCTTGAGGAAAGCTCTCTGCTAGATTTTGCTCCTGCTCGGATTTGACGATAAGACTAGATTTCACAACCATTCCAGAGCTTCTAGAACAAGTTTTAAAACTCCATCCTTATTTTATCCAAACTACGAGAGGGAAAGCTCCCTTAGATAGCAAGGCTCTTCCAACATCCAAGCAGAAGAAGCCTGGATGCGAAGTTGTCGGGAGGCACATGCCTCAGAGGACAGTTGGAGGAGCCTGGGGCACAGCTGTCACCCCTGCACTGCTGCAGTCTGCTCCACAGCATCTTAGGGCCATGCCTGCCACTTCTCTGAAAAGCTGCATCACTCTTTGGAGCTGCCTCCTCATGGAAGGGTGTCCAAAACATTTCCCCTTGGGAGAGAGGCGGCCCACGGTGCCCTTGCCTTTCGACAGAGCTGGGATGAGTCGATGACTTATCACAAGCAGAACCAGCAGGAATGCACAGGCTGGAAGAGCCTCGCTCTTGTTTACAGGCACCCTCCCAAAGGTGCAGCCGGAACAGTGTAAGAAAATAAGAAATACCTACCTGGCGAAAGCAAGCCAGAATCCACTGCATTCAATTCAGTCCCATGGGAGTGAACTCTAAGGACTTGGACAAGTTCACGTTACACATAGATACACACACACACACATACACACACACACACACACACACACACACACGCACACACACACACACACTCCTGCAGCATTCCATCTGATGGTGAAATGGTGGAAGCCATAAATGCCAAATGCGGGGGAGTAAACTCACGAGCTATGACTCATAAACTACAAACCAGAGGGCAACTTGAAGACTTCATCATCACTAATATCTCCTGGAACTCTGGGATGTGCCAGGGACTGTGCTGGGTTCTCAGCAACAACGACTAAAGTACATGGAAAGAAGCAGCTGGCGAGTGGGCACATATACTGTGGCCCAGCAATTCCACCCCTAGGTATAGACTCAACGGAAACACAGGCATGTGCACAGCAGAAGACATGAGCTCGAATCTCACAGTGGCACAGGTGCTATCCCCTATCCAGAGTGGTTGGGACCAGAAGTGTGGAAGGCTTCAAATCTCTTCAGATGTTGGAATAGGTAGAATATGGTGGTTTCCTAGAGATAGAACCCACGTCTAAACACAAAACTCTCATGCATCAAGTATACTTCATGCATGAGAGTAAAGGCGACTTTATGTAATATTCCTAATAATTAGTGCACAAGATAAGATTTCATGGTGTACAATTTTCAACTGATAGTGGCATCATATTGGTAAGAACTTTTATATTCTCAAGCACTTGGGATTTTCAGATTAAGCATGCTCATCAGATAACACCGATGATAGCTCCAAACTGGAGACAGTGCCTAAATCTGCCTCAGTAGAATAAAAAGTGACCTATCCGAACAGTGTGGGAAACAGTGATGAAGGAGATAGTGCCATCTGCCAAGGAGCAGACGCCATCCAGAGACAACCCACCGTGCAGGCTCCACGCAGAAAGTGAATGGACTTACAAAGAATCCACTGGTTTCTCAGAAACTGAAAACCCGTACTCATTCAAGACACTTTGAGAAGCAGGCCAGATTTCTCCGGGGCTGGCTCTACACCAGGCTCTACAGCAATGTCTACTCCACAGCGAATGTACAGAAGGTAGAAGTTGATCCCTTTAGCTCACCCTGCACACTCTTTCCTAATGCCTGTCTTTGCTCTTAGTCTCCTCCTCTCACACACGTGAGCTAACTTCTGCACAGAGAATTCTGCATCCCTGAGTTGATTTTATTTACTAGTAAAAAAAATAAAAGAGAAGGACAACCCACTGCTATGTACGCCAGAGGCACCTCACAAGAACAGGGTAAACAAAATTAGCCAAACCAAAAGTCTGCACGCCATATGGCTTCACAGGTAAAATTCATCTTTGCAAACATACATTTTTAAACATAAACCAGACTGATGATAGCCTGCTCCAAACTCTCCAATAGCTACTCACTGTGCAGGGAATAAAGTCCAACGGGTGTGTCACAGTTGGCCCCTGTCCATCTTTTACTTAACACAGTAAAACTAACATGGCATAGATCCTGGGAGAGTGGGAAGCAATGAGTGAGACAGGTACGAGGAAGGAGAATTCCAGAACCAATCACCTTTCTGCCTGCCTGCCTGCCTGCCTGCCTCCCTCCCTCCCTCCCTCCCTCCCTCCCTCCCTCCCTCCCTCCCTCCTTCCTTCCTTCCTTCCTTCCTTCCTTCCTTCCTTCCTTCCTTCCTTTGTGGTGGTAGGCAAGTGCTCTGCCACTGAGCCACACCTCCGACACAGAACTCTCTCTGTCTTAGTTTAGCACATGAATATGTCCGCGTTATGATAATTCATCAGATGTGCACACGTGACTAGTGTCCATATTTATTAGTAGTACATTAGTAAAACTATCTGCATGCTTTATAGAATATGCACTGCCAATGTATATGCTCATACATGACAAAGTGCATCCCAAGTATACATCTTAATGACACAAACAAAAATGTTATCTTAATGTTTCTATAGCTGTGATATTTATAGTTATAAATCATTTCTACTACGATTTTTATATTATAACCTAAATTGGGAACTAAATAAAATATGAAAATTTATTTATTTATTTGTTTGTTTGTTTTGAGGCAGGATTTCTCTGTGTAGCCCTGGGTGCCCTGAAACTCACTCTGTAGACCAGGCTGGCCTTGACCTCACAGAGATCCCTGGCCTCTGTCTCCCAAGTGCTGGGGATTAAAAGTGTGAGCCACCACGCCCCACTGGAAATTTAAATATTTGACCACTGTTCTTTGCCCGAAGGAAACACACCTACACAGTTACACACACCCACGTACAGAGAGACACAGCCACCCGCACACTGAGTTCTTGTTTTAGGACTGGTTTCTGTAACCATCCTGTGCCTGTTTTCCTGCAGTTTCTCCATTAGGAAGCACACCTGCCTGTGAGTGTGCTCTGCTAGCTCTCTTTTGGCCAAGGAAAAGCTCGCTCTGAGCCGAGCTCCCTGCGCAGCTACTGGCCTTTCACCACGCCCCAAAATGACTTGCGTACGTGCAGTCATTTCCTGCACCCGCAGCTGGGCTTCCATTTCTTCCCAGCCTCCCTCAGTCCTGAACACAGTTAGCCCTTTCCTTCTGAAGGAAGCTTCCAGCACCTGGGAATGACCTCTGCTGGCTTGCTCCCCGAGTCCCGGCTTCTCTTTCTCAGTTCTCTGTCCACCTTCACTCAAGTCCAACACGGTAGAGCTGCCAGGCTTGGTCTTGAATCTGCGTCCTTTTCTGTTTTCATAATCTCTGTGAGCTGAGCTGGCCTGTGGCTTTCACTTCCACCTGTGTGCTGGTGGCTCTCCAGTCTCCAGCTCTAGTCCCTGTCGTTCCCATACTGCCTAAAGCATGTGGCTCTGTTCCAAACTGACCCTGCTCCTTCCCAACGCTTTCCCATCCTACAGACAGTACAACAAGCCCCGTTGTTAAGTTATACCTTAAACAAAGGCCAAGGCATCCTGGATCATTTCCTTCTTTCCTTTGCTGCTTTAACACCAGTAAACTCTGTTAGTTCTGTCCACAATCTGACCATCTCGTCCCCAACACATTCTTCCAAATCTTCAACCTTAAACAATCTCCTCATGGGCGCATCACCTGACACACAAGCCCATCTCTGAGGACAGATTGATTCTTTATGCAGTAGACAGGCTATAGATATATAAACCCTAGACTGGAGAGATGGCTCAGTGGTTAAGGCAGTGGTTGCTCTTCTAGAGGACCTAGATGGTCTTCCCTAGGTGACCCACACTATTTGTAACTTTAGTCCCAGGGACTCTGACACCCTCTTCTAGTCTGGGGGTACTGCACACCTGTGATACACAGACAAACATGCAGGCGAAACACCCATAGACCTAAAATAAACATAAAGGTAAACCATATTGACTACTGCCCTACTCCACATTCTCCTCACTAGCCACAGCACTTGAGGTGAAGTCCAAATGGCATACCAAAAGCTGTGCCATGCACTTCCCATCCTCCTCCTCCTCCTCGCTCTGCTTGAAGGCTGTGGCTTCTGCTCCTCACACCATGCCATGCTCGTCTTTTATGTGCACCTGCAATGCACATATTCCCAGCCTCCTGCACAGCACGAGTCCCCGGTCCCTGCTCAGGTCACTTCAATGTCACTTCGCCCACTGTATCACACAGGGGTCTCTGTACCTCCCTCCCTGGTTTCTGCTATCTCCTTCCCTGACTTTTTAGCTCTTTACCTCTGTCCCTGCTTTAAACCACACTGCTGCCTTAGTTTACTGTCTGCCCCATGACATAGTAAGCTCTGTGGGAACAGAAGAGGGATGCAAAGTCGTTCCTCAGAGCCCATGGGTATCAGCTCCTGCAGATGCTCAGTGCCTTGGATGCTCAAATAGGGATCTGAGAAAATGTTGCAGTGTTTGTACGTAACTGACACACACCCTCCCGTGAGTTTTATACTCCTGTGCATTCCTGTGTGCTTAAAGTCACCACTCCGTTGTCCGTAATCCCTGATGCAGTGTGAATGTTGGGGGATGGTGGGAGAAGAGTCTGCACATGTTTAGTCCAGGGACAACCTATTTTCTATTTTCCATCAGTGGTTGATTGACTCTATTGATGTACAGCTTGTGGGTCAAAGGGGCCTACTGTGGGTGGAGGGTCGTGGATGGGTGGAGGGGAGGCAGGTGAACTTTAGGAAGACCCTCAGAGATGACACACTTCTTGTCAGGACCAGATCTTTCTGTTCACAGCTAGGAGGTGCCAACACTTTCACAATGAAGAAGCACAGGAAAAGAAAAGATAGCCAATCTAGCCACATACCCTTGTCCTGGAGGCAGACACCATTGGTGAAGACAGGAGAGTCAGGGACCCGGGCCACGGAGGGACAGGGGGCTGAGCTCCAGGACAGCAGGCTTCCTCTTGTGCTGTTGTTGTAGCTCCCGAGCCTCATGAGCCAATGGTCAGACAAGGAGGAGCTGGTGGAGCCTGTAGAAGAAGCAGAGGAGAGAGCTGGACCTGGCGTGTCCCGGAGGAACCTGCAGGTAAAGGCAGAGTTCTTCCTCTACTGGGTTCCAGGCCAGTCCTAAGATTCCCAAGATGACCTCTATCCCTAAGCCCTGGACTAACAGAACAAGAGGGGAACCATAAAAACCAAAGTAGTTAGGCGGTGGTGGTGCACACCATTAATCCCAGCACTCAGGGTAGAGGCAGGTGGATCTCTGCAAGTTCAAGGCCAGCCTAGTTGACAAACTGAATTTCAGAACAGCCAGGGCTACACTGAGAAACCCTCCCTGTCTTGAAAAAAAAAAAAAAAAAAGGCAGGGCGGGGGTGGTCGCTGGCCAGAGAAGCCTGCAATGGGACATCCTCAGAACCATGGTGTTTAGGTGAGACCTACAATGTGACATCCTCAACTATGTTTAGAAGCCTGCAGTGACTTGGAACAACAGTGTTTAGTGAGCACAGGAAAGATGGTTCCTTGGTACATTCAAATGTTTTTCATGAAATTATTTGCCGCCAAGTCTGGTTTCCTAAATGTGATTATTTTTCTAGAGCCTGATTTCTAGGATTTTAGTAGTCACAGCAAAAGCCATAGTCAGAGTGATGGCATTTAGCCCCAGGACCCATGGCACCAGATCCTGTAGGACAACATACAGTGAACACACCCCAAGTTCAATGGAGCCAAATCTTCATAAGGGGCATCAAGGTTAGCTTCCCTTTGGCCTTCTCTAATAGGTTTATTATTATTAAACTGTATATTACTTGAGGCTCTTACTGTGTATCCTAGGTTGGCCCCAAATTCATGATCCTCCTGTCTCAGCTTCCCCTGTGATGAGATTTAGGCATACGTCACCATGCCTGGATCTAAGTGTTTTTTTCTTCATTCAATGCCTGCCTTTTAAAAATGGAAAGCAGGCTTGTGTTAGTTTTGATTCAGACCTGGAGGACTCTTTATTTTCTCTATTTTTAAATAATGATTAGGAAAAAGATGTAGTTAGTGTGTGAGTACATGTGTGTTTATAGTGTGTGTGTGTGTGTGTGTGTGTGTGTGTGTAGAATGGAGGGAAGAAAAGGAGGGAAAAGAGGAAGGGAAGGAGGAAGGGGGTAGAGAGAAAGTATGAGAACACATGTGTGTGTGAATGCAGTGTATACATGTGGTATATACACAAAAGTACATGCAGGTGTGAGTGTCTATAAATTCACAGAGGCCAGGGGAAGTCATTGGGTACCCTGATCCACCATTCTCCTCCAGAGGAAGGGACTGGGTACCCTGATCCACCACTCTCCTCCAGGGGAAACCATTGGGTACCCTGATCCATCACTGTCCTCCAGAGGAAGGGATTGGGTACCCTGATCCACCACTCTCCTCCAGGGGAAACCATTGGGTACCCTGATCCATCACTCTCCTCCTTATCCTTTTGAATAGAGTGAATTAGTGAATCTGGAGCTAGGCTGGCTCTCCACTGCTGACAGTGCTGGGGTCAGAGGAACATAGGTAGGCAAGACTAGATTTCTTTTTTAAAATAAATTCTCACACTTAACACAGCAAGCATTCTTACCCAAGGGGACATCTATTCAGTCCTGATGAATATCTTTTGTCCCCAAAATAAGGATGACTATTTTTCAGAGTGTGACAAATCACTTAAAAGTGTTACACATTTCTCCCCGTACTTCCAAACAATGCGGAGGCTCATAAATCACTTACCAGGGAACCGCTAGGCAGGCACACTTTCTCGAAAGGCCCTGGCTCTTACCTGCCTCTCCCTTTCTAACAGTATTGACGCAGGTTTACAAGGCCCACAGCTAAATAATCGCGTGTGGCTCAATGAGGCTCCCATGTGCATCAGCCGCCCCAGATTGAAAAGGAATGTACTCTTTCCCCATTTCTTGATATGGCAACTGGCTGAGGGAATAGAGAACTCCCAGTTTCCACACTGGCAGGCAGAGCTTCCTTTTTTTGATCCTTGTCCACCTTCCTGGATACTCAAGTGAGCATTCCAGTTCCTTCAAAACACAAGCCACTCAGAGAGAGGGAGGGGAGCACCCATGCACGTGGGTGCCATAGCGCATGTGTGGAGCTCAGAGGAAAAACCTGCAGGAACAGGTTCCAAGGATCAAACTGAAGTTGCCAAGGCTTGGTGGCAAGCATCCTTACAACTGAGCCACCTCACTGGCCCAGAACGTTTCACCTCTTCACGGGACCTCCAAACCCCATGCCCCTCTGAGCCGTGGCACACACCTCTCATGGAGCTGCTGGCTGACCACGGCGGGATGCTGTTCCGCTTCTGATAGAACAGGATGTAAGCCCCTCTGCTGTTGACCTCAGCCTCTCGCAGGGGCTCCACCGTGCTGTCGTCGTAGCTGTACCACTGGCCGTCCAGGGAGTTCCGGCAATAGGCTGCGAGAGTCCGAACCCCAAGGCGTGAGCAAAATTCAAAGATGGACACGCTTAAAGCTGGGTGACAAAAATACCCATTTTTTTTTTTTTTAGCTAGAACTGATTTCTGGGAAACCAGAAGAAGACAGCAGTTTCACCGCTAGTAAGATCTTACTCGAGCGCTCGCTGGAAAGTGAGCATTCACAATGCCCATCTCATCAGGCACAGCCACCCCTAACACAGAGTCTCATGGTGACAAGGCTAGACAGTAATGTAACCCACTGCTCACCCATCTCTAAAAAGGCCATGGAAGGGAAAATGGGACCCTAGTATACCTCTTCCCACCTAAGGACTGGAGTCCAACATTTTACAGAAAGATGAACACCATTCCCGACTGCCTCCAACCAGCCACAGAGACCCTTCACCTGGCCCTCCAAGCTCAGCACACAGCACTCAAGCCCACTGGTCCTGAAGCTTACAGGACACAGGTGGCTACATCTGTCTTGTTCTTGTTGTTACCACCTTTAAAATGTTATTGAAAGGAAGGAAAAGGAAAAAAGGAAGGAAGGAAGGAAGGAAGGAAGGAAGGAAGGAAGGAAGGAAGGAAGGAAGGAAGGAAGGAGACAACCTTTCAAATTTACGGATTATGCAAACCCACCGGTCCCTCGGGCTCTAGCTTGCTGACCTTTGCACACATTGCAGCTAAACACCCAGGAGTTCATCTTGTTTTTCTTTCCCCTCTTGCCACACCCCATCCAAAAGCCGTTCTTACTAACGGAACTCCCAAACTATGTCTTGAAGACCATGTCAGTATCCAGTGTGAACTCTCTTGAGGCTCAGAAACCACCTCAGGCTGAAATTCTTGCTTGCATTGCTCCTCCAGTATCCACAGAACAGCCATTCTGAAAAGCACACTAGGAGATGATTTTACTCCTCAACTTAAGGTATGGAGCTGCCCACTGTGACACAGTAAAATGGTTCCTGAAACTCTTGGATGTTCCAAAGTGTCATTGTCTATGCTGGTGATCTGTGTGATGACTGTGGCCTCCAAGTGGCTTCAGGGTAGGGTCAGTCTTGAGGAGGCCAAGGAAGCAAAGGTTGGGACTTTGGGGCAATGAGAAGAGAAAAAGCCAAAGACCAGAAATAGAACTAAAACACAAAAACATAGCCTCATGGAATTAGGTGGATCTTTCAATTAGTAATGGTCTTGTAGCAACTGGTACATTGGGGTGTGTTGGGGGAGACATCAAGAAACTTCAGAGCACAGACTTAAATGTGAAAATCTAAAACCTCAAAAGCCCCAGGAGACAACACAGAACAACCGCTTCATGGCCCTGCATGAAAAGGGCTTTCTAGTCATACCTCGAAATCCACAAGTCTTTAAAGAAATGATTGGCCATTCGGCTACCTAGAGAAACAAAATGTAAGCCTTCTGCAAGACAAGCGACCTAAGGCACTGTAGGCACAGTCTTACAGGGAGACCATTAACAACAGCCATGTGGGAAACAGTCAAGGATACGGGCGAGGCATTCACAGAGGAGGTGCACAAAGTTCTTCAGCAGGGGAGAGGCTAGAACTGAGGCGTTATTCGCTCATTTGACTGGCAAAACTCCAAAGGAGCAGCATTACTCGTAAGAGCCAGGACCCAGATACTACCTAGATGCCCCTCAACTGAAGAATGAATAAAGAAGATGTGGTCCATTCACACAATGGAGTATTGCTCAGCTTTAAAAAATAACGACAGCATGAAATTTGCAGGCAAATGGATAGAACTAGGAAAAATCACCCTGAGTGAGGTAACCCAGGCTCAGAAAGACAAACACGCTATGTCCTCACTCATAAGTGGATACTTGATGTTAAACAGAGTACAACCAGACTACATCCCACAGCCCCAGAGAAGCTAGGTCACAAGGAGGACCCTAAGAGGGGAGCATGGATCTCCCTGGGAAGGGGAAATAGATGAGATCTCCTGGGTAAACTGGGGGTGGTGGCATCAGAGAGGAGGGGATGGGGGATGTAACAGGAGGGAACAGGAAGGTCATGCTGGAGGAGGGATGGAGTGGGAGAGCAGTGAAATTGATATCTTGTTAGAGGGAGCCATTGTGGGGTTAGGGAGAAACCTGGTGCTAGGGAAATTCCCAGGAATCCACAAGCATGATCCATCTAAGACCCCTAGCAATAGAGAGGGTGCCTGAATTGGCCTTTCCCTGTAGTCAGACTGGTGAATACTCTGTCATCATAGAGCCTTCATCCAGTAACTTATGGGGGGCGGGGGGGGGTCAAGATCATGATGGGGAAATCTACAGAGACAGCTGAACCAAGCTCATGGGAACTCACACATTCCCTGACAGCTGTGGAGCCTGCATAGGCCTGAACAGGCCCTCTGCATGTGGGAGACAATTGTGTAGCCTGGTCTGTTTGAGGGTCCCCTATCAGTGGGACCAGGATCTATTCCTGGTGCATGAGCTAGCTTTTGTGAGTCCATTCCCTTTGGTAGGATGCCAGGCTCAGCTTTGATGGAGGGGGAGGGGTTTGATCCTGCCCCCACTTAATGTACCAGACATAGTTATCTCTCCATGGGAGTCCTTAAGATTTGGGAGGAGTGGGTGGGGGGTAGTTTGGGGAAGGTAGGAGGGAAAACTGTGGTTGGAATGTAAAACGAATAAAAAATACAAACAAACAAACTCCAAAGGTGTCTATGTGCAGGATGTGGTGAGTTCTCCTCAGGGGGAAGCAATCTCTCTCTCTCTTTCTCTCTCTCTCTCTCTCCCTTTCTCTCTCCCTCCCTCCGACCAACTCTCCCTCTCTCCCTCAAAGGAAGGGTTTCTCTGTGTAGCCCTGGCTGTCCTGTAACTCACTCTGTAAACCAGGCTGGCCTCAAACTCATAGAGATCCACCTACCTCTGCCTCCTGAGTGCTGGAATTAAAGATGTGGGCCACCACACCCAGCTTTACACTTTAATTTTTAAAAATTTGTTTGTATGAGTAGACACACCCATACCACGGCACACATGTTGAGGTCAGATGACAACTTAAGGAAATCTTACCATATGGGCCCCAGGGATTGAACTCAGGTGCCTCTGAGCTATCTTAGCAGCCAGAAGCAAGCTCTCTCTTACTGCTGGGAAGAGAACAAATTCCTACACGCCCAGTCTACAGGGTGGATTTACAGAAATTGTCAAAATGTTGATCCAGAGCAGGGGCCTTGTTCAATGTTAGGGTCCCTGCAGATCCAGAGTGGGTGCCTAGTTCAATGGTAGAGTATATGCAGACCCAGAGTGGGGGCCTTGTTCAATGGTAGGGAGCCTGCCTACAATGCTTGTGGCCCTGGTTTGGGTATGCACACACAAGCATACAAACATACCAGCTAGCTAGCTACTGCCTTTCTGAAATTTTGCCCTGTTGAAAGCTTGTCACATACTGGGCGGTGGTGGTGCACGCCTTTAATCCCAGCACTCAGATTGGTGGTACACGTCTTTAATCCCAGAGACAGAGGCAGGCAGATCTCTGTGAATTCAAGGCCAGCCTGGTCTACGGAGTGAGTTCCAGGACAGCCAAAGATGCACAGAGAAACCTTGTCTCAAAAAATAATAATAATAATAATAATAATAAAAACCCAGCTTGTCATATAGGAAATGACACATGTCAAAGGTCACAGAAGCAATACTGCAAAGCAGAAGAACGAGCAGTGTATGCCCTAATCTTCTATATACCAGGGTGGAAACTTCTAAGCTAGATTACTAAGTGAAAAAAATCTAGCTGCAGAATTATATGTACAGTATTTAACTCTTGTGCTTAAAATGAGTGATAGAGTAAAACCTGAAAGTCTCGCTTTATGTTGTCAATTTTTAAAGATATTTTTTCAATTTTTAAAAATAAATACAAGTAAAGAACTGAAGAGCAAGCACAGTGCCTCCTGAGTCCTGGTAAATGAAAAGACCCACATAAAGGGGCAGCCTGTGAAATTCCAGGGCACCAGTGTGTGTAAAAGGACCTAAAAGCTTCCAGAAAGAATTAGATCCCAGACAAAGAAAAAGAAACTGGCTGACCCCGTCTCCAAAGCAAGAGCCTATTCCTCACCTCCAATCTCTGTGGAGCATCCCTGTCCAAAGACAATGAGACAATGGTTATCAACCTAGAACTTTATGTCCAACCAGGCTGCCAGTCAAGGGCAGCAGTCAAAGCATTCAAGACGTGCAGTGACTCAGAATGTCACACTTCCAAGGCCCTCACTTAGGAAGCTAGAAGGTGTGCTCCTCAAAGTGAAGAAGTTGGTGATTGTCTGATATCCTGTATTGAGAACCTCCTACTGACACGTTACTAAACCAGCATAATTCATAACTACATCCAAATATCTATTCTTGAACCCATACGTAAGTTGCTCTCACTCCCCCCCCCCATCTACCAAACTTGTCTTTGCAAGAGACGGAGTATAGAAAACCACATACAATCAAGCTGTAGAGAACAAGTGACCACGTGGCACCCAGCCCCAATTGGCACATCTACAACACAACTCCTGCACTAAGGCTCAGGGAACATCAAGGAAGAGGGGGTGGGAAGACAGAATAACAGCCAGAGAAACAGAAAGTCTGCTGTGAGATTGTGTCTCCTGGTAATGGAAATGTCAGGGAACCTACACCCACGAAGTCTCAACCACATGACTGCCTGAACAAGAAGAAGACCAATAGACAGGATAACACGGAGGAAGTAACTCATAGGGCCCCAACCCTAGACAAAGAACTACAAGCAACTAAGAAAAGCTGAGAGCAGAAAAAAATAGTCTTTCCTAGGGAACATCCCGTCCTGTTGGTTATCTAATACCAAGTTGTCAGACCTGAAATCATATATACACTTAACATTATCTAGACTAAGTGCATTGCATTCACGTGTTTAGGAATACATGTATACATGCACACACAGACACAAAGAAAAAGAAAGAATGCATTTGAGAGAGCAAGGCAGGGTTACATGAGAGAGGTTGGGAAAGCTAAAAGGAAGGGGACAAGTAGTATAATGATATTTTAATTTCAAAATAGTAAAAATAATTTTAAAAAAAAATCCCAGGTGAGCTGGGCGGTGGTGGTGCACGCTTTTAATACCAGCACTCGGGAGGCAGAGGCAGGCAGATCCCTGTGAGTTCGAGGCCAGCCTGGTCTACAAGAGCTAGTTCCAGGACAGGAACCAAAAAGCTACAGAAAAACCCTGTCTCGAAAAAAAAAAAATCCCAGGTGAATACAGCAGAAAGGATGCCTTTCCCTCTCCAAATGCATATACACATGGGTCTCATGGGATCTGTGCTGCAGCAGAAATAGACTGGGGACCTAACCACAGGGTCCTCCAGACAGAAACTGGCGGCCCCTTCACCTGGTGCAGGACAGCTGTGAAGAATGGGTGTGGTGGCAGAGCAGAGCAATGCAAGAGTCACCTGATGTCCACTGGAACCTTCTATGTGCAGTCAAGACCCATCCTTCAACCCTTCTCTGTTCGCCCACAAGGTCCTCGTCTCTCTTTTCCTCTCCGAGGGCACTTTACCAGCAGTGTGTGCACACCGTCAGAGAGCACATCCCACACCTCTCATGAGGCTCACAGGATCAGCCTCCACAACTGTGTACCCACTGGACACTGAACTGCTGCTGCCAGCAGCTCTCCTACAGACTTCTGTGACCTCTAAGATAAGTCAAAGGAATGGCATTTGTCAAGAAGTGGTCAGTCATGCTAACTCTGTGAATACTTACAGGGACAACTTTAAGCCACTGAGAGAAGCACTTGGCAGTTTGTTTCTCTCTCTGTATGTTTACTGCTTCTAAATTCCCCAGGTGAATAGAAATGAAAAGCACCCCACATAATACAGGGATGCAGAACCTGGAGAGTAAGACTCTGTGTTGAATCATAAATGAAGGCAGGTACCATGTCTTGGCTCTGGTACTTACCCTCCCATATCTGCTGTGCCTGAAAATATGAGTAGTTACCAACTCCCGTGCAACCACCATCCTGAGTCAACACCAGCTTCCCGGGGACTAGGCACTGTCTCTCCCCCGCCCCCTGTGTGCAGTGGGGGACAAGCCAACCACAGTAAACGGGAAGAGTGCTCGCCTTCAAGAAGCACCAGTTCCGGGGACATCTTGAGGCTCTGGCTACAGCCAACTCACATAGCTGTGGCTGCTACATGCAGAGAGGCATGGCAAGGCTCACCTGTGTAATGCCCACCTTGCAGACTGCCATGGTGGTTGCAGACAGCATACAAGTCGTAGAGGAAGTCCATGGGGTAGGTGGTGGGGAGGCAAATCGGCTGCTTCCAGGAGGACCAGGTTCCAGTCCCTGCCTTAGAGTTGGTGCTCCTTCGTGCGACATGGGGAGCCATGTTGAGCCCAGACAGTGGGAACTTCACCAGCGTGGAGAGCTTGTTCCTTTTCTCCCCGACCTGACAGAACCGCTTCAGGTGGATGATCAGGATGTCAGGCAGGGTCCACAGGCTCAGCTTTACCACACCCTGCTGGAGGACTTGGCAGTGGGGGCACTTCCATGCATCGTCCTGGGCTAGCTGCAAAGGAAGCCATCTGAACTGTAAGGCCACCACAGTGCACAACCAACCCACCACAAGGCAGCCAGCCCGTCTCCCAGGGCGGGACCTGCTCCTCCTTGGTATAGGACTGAAAACATTCATCCAGGGTACAGCTGGGCTGCTGGTGTGCCTGCTGCTGCCGCCACACACTCTCTGCATCCTGGACCCGCTCCTCCTGGAGACTGCCAAACAGGCTGGATGGAAGGAGAAGGCACAGCATTCAGAGCTCTCCCTCCCAGAAGGACCTAACTGTCTCCACACAGAGAAACCAGGCCGGGCACTGGACAGGCAAAGCTACCCTCTCTGTGGGTTCCTGAAACCTCCTGCACCCCTAACTTTGCAACTAACTCTTAGAGAATCACCTGTCTCCCCTACCAGCTACTCAAAGGACCAAGTTGTAGGCTCCCCAACTAAGCACTAGTCATATACCTGATGGATTGAAACAAGTCCTCTTACAAAGTCTGGCTGAGGTGCTGTGAGAGGCAGCCAAGCAGAGTGATGAGCCTGGATTCAAGTCAGTCAGCCTGGCTTCAAACCCTAGCTCTGTGTGTATGAGCCATGTGACTTGTGCATCACCTAACCTCTGTGCATCTCAGTTTCAACCTTCGGGCAATGGTAGTGATAAATTCATAGTCCTTCCCCATAGGGTGTGATGAAGATGAAGCCGAGAGCTCATGGGAAATAAATGTTCTGAGCAATGTGTGGCCCAGGCTGAAGGTTACATGAGGGTTACTATTCCTAACACCCCACCGGTCCCCATCACGATCACCCACTGTGATCATGTGCCCACTGTGGTTATTTATAGAGGCAGTTCTAAGTTCTCTCAGAGGAATGGGATCCATCATACTAAAGGTGTGTATGCAGGATCTTACACACTAACTAGGGGACACCGCGTCCAGGAAAGGTTTGTGGGCAGAGTCATGCCCTAGCCCAGCTCTATAGGAGTAAAATTCCATTAACTCACTGCTCCATGACAGAGCTATCCCACTCCACGGCCAGCTTGACATGAGGAGGGCCTCCTGGCTTCCTGAGGTGCAAAGCCCTGAGGAGAAAATGAGGAAACCTGTCAGAAAACAGAGCTTCCTTCCCGCCCGTTCTCAGGGCTCAGCAGTCAGCTTCCCCATGCCTCTCTGGAGAAATGTTCCAGACAAAAACACCCCAAACTGACTAAAAACCACACTGAAGGGTTCTAAGTGGGCTGAATGCTTTAGTTCTTTGCTACCCCTTAACGCTCTCTACTGATCCTCCCTGGAGGTGGGAGCTCCATGCAGAACCTGCGTCCTTCTAGCTATTAGGACACAGTTAACTGTTCCACTGAAGGCCCAGCTGTCATTTCAGCATTTACAGGGAAGTTACACATTGCAAGGTTTGGATAGGAAATGTCTCCCACAGCTGGTAACATTGTTCTTCAAAAGGGAAGCTTAGATGGAGTAGGTCACTGGGGGATGGGTCACTGGGTGTATCTCATCTCTGATTTCTTCCTGTATCTCCTCTGTTTCCAGTCAAACATGAGTTAAAAAAAAGATCCTCAAGTATATAATACTCTGCCTCACCACAGGCCCCAGAACAACAGAGCCAGCTATGATGGACTGAAACCATGAGACAGAGTCAATCTTTCCTTCCCTCAAGGTCTTCCTGTCAGGTACTGGCTCACAGCAGCACCAAGTCAGAAGAACACCCTGATGAGCTTTGTGCACACAAAGCCAATACTGATGGCACCCCAGGAGAACTAACACCCGCCCCCAACAACAGTGCAGAAGGATCCCTGCAAACCCACCCACACCTCCCAAAGGCTTCCAAAGCCTCATTGTGTTGACAATCTCAGTGAGTCAAACGACAGCCCCTCCCACCTACTGGGGCTCCACCCATTTCAGAAAAAGCTGGAGAAATGAAGGAATAAAGTGGAGAGTAGAAGTTATACCCTGAATCAAGAAGAGCAGGCACAAGTAGTCGCTGAGTACCCAAAATACTGTTTAGGATTTGTGACAAGATTGTCACCAAGATGATTCAATAGGAAGTTCCGGACTCAATAAGACACAAAGTGAGAGGAAACTGCATACTCGGTAAGAGCGGACATACAAGGGACAATTTCCGTCCCTTATTTTCAATAGATTTTGCACTGCTTTGTCCTCCTGCTCTCAAGTACTTAGGTGCTTCCTCTCAAGTTTCTGTCGTTTCTGGTAACAACTCGCTATAGGTTGGTTCCAGCCTGCAGAGTGCATGTTGAGGAATGTTAACTGTCATCTCCACCACCGAATGCCATGGGCCCTTCTTCCCTAGGGCTTCCTTTTCCTGTCAGACCAAAGCAGGTCCTGGCTGACATGAATGGCTTCTCTCTCCCTAACTTAGCAGCTAAGGAGGGTAGGAATAAAGTATGCTGGAGAGCCTTCTGGTCCATCTCAACATTCTAGACTTAGCACCTCAAGCTGACCCAGCAGTAAACCAGAGACCCTTACTATGGCCTATGGGAATGTGCTCTATGGGAATGTCAGCAAAGGTATCAGGTTACTTGTGGAGAGCAAAATCAGTCCGTGGATACTTTACCAGCCCCGAAGATGTTTAGACGGGGCTGCACTGTGACAAGCTGTTGAACAGACATGCGGAGCATCGTGAAACCAGAAGCAGTGCCACAGTGGCTTTATCCCCCAGCTGTAGTCCACAACCTTTTATAGTTTAGGACCCATGGTCCAGCTGTAGTGTTCTCACCCACCTCAGAGGGGACACTCATTCCCACTGGGGGCCATAGCATGACCTAAACACATGATTATGGTGCATCTGTTAGACCGATCTGGGTGTAAACTCATACTTCTCCATTTACCTGCTGTGTAAGTACGAGCAAGTTAATCTCTGGTAATCTCATTGCTCCCTCATCTCTCAGTGGCCATTGTTGGACATGGGGTTAAAAAAGAAAAATAAAGGAGCAAAACATGTCTAAGAACCCAACGAGGTGGCTAGAACTAGAGAGGAACTGGTAAGGAGTGGCTAGTATTGTTAATAACCTTACTGCTCTGTAGACTTCTTGGGTAAGCCTAGCTCAGTAGGAACACGAGCCATCCCTTCCCTTACCTGTCAACTGCCCAGTGACAGAGGGGCCGGCTGTCCTGTGGAGATAAGTAGCTGCAGGCCAAGGAGAGCCCCACAACCCGGATGGAGAACAGAGTCCCCAGGTCCTGCCATGACAAAACCAGAAGGCGACAGTTCATCACATAGTCCCCGGGCTGAGCAATTGACTCTGTGACACACAAATTAATCAAAAGGGCAAGCACGTTTTTTCCTGCAGTATTTTGAATATTCTCTTAATAGCTGGTATTTAAAATAGAGAGCTACAGAGGCTTCATTGCTTTGAAGATTCAGTCTCTTAATACAATGATCTAATGCCATGCTCGCTACACTGAATGCAACCCGTCACACAATGAACACAGCATACACAGAAACGAGTGTTTAACTGGAGCAGATACCGATACAGTAAGTGGAAAGTAAAGTCTATTCGTAATTAATTATCAGTAAGTAGTTTAACCTTCTTTATGGATGTGGTTATCATCACCACGATGAGACAGTTGTGCAAAAACAAGTTCATATACACATGCTATGATATTCTAGCAGTTTTGAAGTTGAAGCAAGTCTTAATGTAAGATATGTTTATATTATAGATGCCTCAAAAAAAAAAGTCAGTGGAACAAATAAGTTGGTTCAAAAGTAGCCATAGGATCTGAATACGAGCTTCTCCAAACATGCAAATAACAAAAGCACAATAGAAGATGGTTACTACCATTTGTAGATAGGAAATGAGAACCAATGAACCAAGACCACAATGAGCTGTCATTCAAACCCACCATAACAACTGAATTTCTATATATAGTCTAATTTTAAAAGAAGAGAGGAATATGTGTTGGGGAGGATGTGGAGAAATCAGAACCCACATGCACGGCTGGTGAGAAAAGGTAAAACAGTACTGTGGCAACCGACTCTAAGGTTCTCACAAGGTTGTACCCACAGCTACCATCTCATCCATTAGCTTTACTCCTAAAAGACTATACACAGGGGACTTCAAAGATGTTTGGATAATCATGGTCACAACATTGTTTCCTATAGTCAAAAGATGGGAACACCTCACATATTGGTAACAGATAAATGGATAAATGAAATGCGGTAGATAGACACAACTCAACTTCACCCAGATTTTAAAATGGAGTAGGATGGAAAGGTAGCTTGGTGGTAGAGCACATTCTAAGCAGACTCAGGGTCTGACAAGTCATGCCCTTGCATACACACACACTTACACACACACACACTCACGCAGAGATCATAATATGACAAGGAAAGAAGTAAGAAATTTAGCACCTATGTGCTAGTGACTCATCACGCTTATCTTTAGCCTGAACTTCTAAGCTTGAGAGAGCTTCACTGTGCCCAAGGCCTCAGGGTTCATCTCAGGTACCCTGGGGTCCATCTCGGCACCATCTGGCGGGAAATCTAGCATATGCCACAGGTATTCCACTATTAAATGGGTACAGAGCTTTTGTAGGAGGATTGTTTAAAAAGCTGAAAGTATGGAAGTAATAGTTACATAGCATGGCAAATGCAATTAACATTTACTTATGAATGGTTAAGTTCTATATCTTGCCAAAAAATCAGTGTAGTTCATTCAAATAAAGGAAATATAGTTTTTGAAGCTGTCACTCAAGAACTTGGCTACAATGAGAAAACACTAAAATCTCCTTCTAATTAAAGCTGATCACAGATATCTGAAAATCACGGGGAAGGTTGGATTCTGTCTAGCAAGAGATGAGGGGGAACGCATTATTACTCCAGGAAAGAGTAATGGCCAGCACTTCAGAAGACCAAGAGGTCCAAAACACACTGAGACAACCGTGAGGGGCTCCTGTGGCTATGGCAGCAGCCATGTGCTGGCCAGGGGATAAACCAGAGCCATGCTGTCAAGGGTCGCTCTGTTTGGATGTCTCTTGTTCGTCTTCCCGTGTTTGTTTTCACCGAAACTTGGTCTATACGGCAGCCAAATAGGAGGGAGGGTCTTGTGAGAGGCCCTTCGGTTACTGGGGCATCCTCAAAAGAGACTTTAGTTCTCCAACTCCCCCATCCCATGCTACACTTGAGATGTGACGGTTTTGTTCCATATATGCTCCTGCCACAGCATGTCACCCCCTGTCATTCTCATGGCACCTGAATCCATGGAAGTGCCGTGACTCTGAACCCCCAACACTCTAAGGTCTATGAGCCTTTCTTCTTCCTGAGCCAGTTTCTGTGGAGTTAAATGCAGGGATGTGACACTGACCAGCACAAGGGCCTAGGCCAATGGTTTTCAACCTGTGGGTCATGACCCCTTTGATGTTGAATGACCCTTTCACAGGGGTCACCTAAGATGATCTCATATCAGATATTTACATTTTGTAACAATTTTGTAACAGTCGCAAAATTACAGTTATATAGTAGCAATGAAAATAATGTTATGGTTGGGGCCACCACACATGAGGAACTGTATTAAGGGGTCACAGCATTAAAAATGTTGAGAACCAGTGGTCTAGACAGAGAACTTCAAGGGAATTTGCCCAGCTCCTGGACTATAGTCAAAAGACAAAACAAAACCCCTCATGTATCCACCAACAATAAATGTACAATTACAATGTATGGTCGATCCACGGTTTTCTATAGTTTTGACAAGAGCAAATCAATGGCTGGAGCCTGCTAACCTCAGGGGCTTTGATTCAGGTTGGCCATGGAAGGGTGTACACTTTCTAAGAACGTTCCCTTCAGTCTGGGAGAAAGAGTTGTCCTTTGTCACTGCTGTGTGCACAGGGAGGCCATCCATTAGACAGATCCCAAGATCTATGTGGAGGCAGCCAACCCCGCATAAAGAAACAGTGCTGCGCTCACACCCGAGTTTACATGGAGACCATAAAAAGATGTTTCTGCAGTGATAAGTCTTTTTTCTATAATTTATGCAAATTAATTCTCTCAGCAAATGGCTCGTTTTTGTAAGGAACACTTTCCTGTCCTCTATTCTAGGCTAAACAGATTCGTCTTCGAGCCTTCAATGTATGTTCACTACGCCTAATCTCTTCAGCTCCGTTTTGAGAACTCTGAATAAATCCTTTTCAAATTATTGCCTTGAGGAGCCAGTCTTTAATTCAGTATTAAAAGGATTAAGGATGGGGGCTGGAGAGATGGCTCACTGATTAAGAGCAGATGCTGCCCTTGCATAGGATCTAGATTCAATTCCCAGTACCCACATGAGACAGCTCACAACTACCTGGAACTCCAGTGCAGGGGATACGATTCCCTCTTCTGGCCTCCCGACACAGTGCACATGTGTGGTGTACATACAGATAAGGAGGCACACACATATACATAAATAAATAAAATAAAATTTTAAAACGGAGTATGAATTAAGTAAGAGAGCTATCCAGAGAGCGCAAGCATTCTGAGTACGTGATTCCTGGAGCAGGTCATGCCCAGCTGCACATTTACCAACAAGGAAAAGGACCCAGGGCTGGGCTGAGGGTGGATGCACTTGAATCTGGCTAGCCTCACAGATGGCTTGATTAGTTTCTAACATTGAAAGACTGTAGGGCACAGAAGCAAAAATATATGCATGTGACATACAAGGAGCAAGGGTAGCTGGGGAAGGGGATACATCTGGAATCAATGCCCACATGAAAGTGGTTTCACCCCCTTTCAACAATCCCTGTGCACAGTCTGGGGGATAGCTGCCACTATTACTAGAGAGTCTGACCTACTTGTACAGAAGCTAGCTTCTAATTCCGGCTCTGTGGTATAAGGAACAAAATCCTTTAGACATAAAAGTTTGGACAAATATAGTGAAGGTCTTTAATAAGTTGTTCTTCGGTATGAACCCTAAATCAAATGTATAGGGCTGTCTTTGAGAGAAAGAAATAGCAATGTGGCAGATTATCTATGAAATAATTTGGTATAACCCATTAAAAGGCTCTTATTACACAGTTTCTCAAACAAGATTTTCAAGACTACGGATGCAACCCTGAAAATTCCAACACCTTCCCTGCCAGAGCAGTTCATGACACAGAAGCAAAAAAACCAATGCTTTTATGGCAAAAGTCAGTGAATTTTTAAGCTTTTAAATTTTTTGAAGCAAAATAAGAAATTATTTTTCCTTGAATTTTTAAACTCGGTTTCTTAAAACAAAATTATTTTCTCATCTAGATCTTCACTCGTGAACATCATCATCAACAACCATTCATTTTCCACAGAAATTATGTGTCAAGGGGCTCAGCAGGCAAAGGCATCGCTTCCAAGCCTGACAACCTGAGTTCAATACCTTCCAGACCCACAGGTAGAAGAAGAGAAACAACAGAGTCCTCCGACACCCACATGGGCATCACGGCACAAACAGGCGCACAGACACACACAATAAATAAATAATGAATGAATAAATAAATAAATAAATAAATAAATAAAATTTTAATTTTTAAAATAAAAACAAATGAAAAAAAAGAAATTCTATCTCAAGCCAGGTGTAATTTGTGCCTGTAACCTCAGCCCTCGAGGAAGTTGAGGCAGGAGGACTGTCGCAAATTCAAGGTCAACCTGGACAGCAGAGTAAGACCTTGTCTCAAGAAAGAAGGTTGGGGAGAAGAGAAGAAAATTTTAACAATTATCTTCAAATTTTGATCTATATGAGTAAGCTACAACTAGCGAAAACTATAGAAAGCCATAAATACACGAAGCTGAGAATAACAACGCAAATGCTGCTCTTTATTTCAGGGATTGTTGTGAAAGTGTCTCCTAACGTGAGAGATGAAAACATCAGAAGCCACACATCCTTGCACACCAACTGCACACACACACACACATTCTTGAACTCACACACAGACCTGTGCAGGGACTTCACTCCTCATGAGGCACCGAACTTTGCTGAGAATACACTGTTGTAGCTGGGCCCAGGATATGGTTCTGTCTTCCCGTATCAGGAACGGTGGCCCAAACCTGAAAATGCAAGGAAGGAAGTAATAAGTTATTTCTGCAGAGAAAAATTCAACAAGAGTCATGTATGTTTGCTTCACTCTGGTTCCTCTCCAACGGATTAGTGAACAGTTAGGAGCCAAGGCCTACATGGAGTTGCCAGTTGCTTATATATTACACACATAAGCTGCTGCCTTGCAGACTGTTCTAAGGGCCAGGCTCCCACAGCACAGAACAGGGGAAGGGGGTGTGGGAACCAGAGCAAAGCATCCATATAACACACTGTCCTATCTCAGGAATATTCCCATTACTGGGAAGTTTCCCATATCCCAACCCACTGAATGTCCAGCAGTGGGTTTGGCAGTAAGCACAGGATATACCTATGCCCCCTGCTCTGCCACAGTCACCCTTACCCTAGCTGTGGGACGATCTGACTGAATAATGAGAAACTACTGAATCAACATTGTTAAAACTGAGCATCACTGAGGGAACCTGTCTGGATGGGGAAGGGCACCCTGTGCAGCCACTGAATGGACGGGTCAGCTCATCAATCTATCCTGTGTTGTTATGCAGTTTGAGTTGCTTCCAGTTTGTTATTGTTTAAACATTGCTACTTACAGCAGGAACTACACTTAGGGGCACAGACTCTCAGCTACATATTCTTTTAGAATGGAGATTCTATAAACAGAAAGGCAAAGCCAATGCTACATAACCTCCAAAATGCCCTACAAAAAAAAAAAGCCATGTCAGTCTACTAGGGAAGCAAGTACCTTTATTCAGGTCTCTGGATAAAGAGCTGGGTTGTTTTGTTTGGGGTTTTTTTTTTTTTTTTTTTTTTTTTTTTTGGCTTTTTGTTGCTCTGTTTTGTTTTATCATCTTGTCCCATAAGTTGCTTTATTCTTGTTCAGAATGAGTGGTTTAGATTTCCTTAGCAATCTAAAGGGCTAGGAATAGAATCTCACCACTGCAGTAAGAATTCTCGCCTTGCCAATGACACTGAATCTTTTACCCTATGCATATCCAGTGAACTTATTTTACTATGTATGAGACATGCTAACTTATTTAAGTGAGAACGAGGTTTCCTATGATGTATGTGACCCTTCACCTCTCATGAGGCATATGTACTTTCCCTCATTTTCTTTTGCCTTTAAGTTTTTACATTTGGTTTCAGATTAAAATGTTAAATTTATTTAAAACATAAGCCTTCTCCTTCGTGGTCCCTTGTTTTATGTGCTTCAAAAGGGGCCTCTTTTACTCAAAGACATAAATATTCCGTGTTGGTTTTCTGTTTTGTTTGCTTTGTTGAAAAAGAGACTCAGTCAGGGGAGCATGCCACCTACACTGCTTTTCAGGTAGTTTGTGGCAATTTTTCTGTGATTACCTTTTTAATTAAGTTGGAATTTATATGTACAAATGTATGACAAGAGGAAGGTATGATTTAAAATAAAAAGTGATTTGCTCAGCCATAATTATTGGATAATGTATCCATCCCTAGGACAATGAAATAGATGCCATTTTATCAAATAGTAAATACCTAAAGATACTTTGACCTATTCTGTTCTGTTTATTAATTTTCATATTCTTTTACCTATATCATAATATTTTAACAATTAAAATTTTATTGACCTGTCTATCATACTACATATCCATGACTCTAGGAGGTAGCAGACTGAGGCAGAGGATCATGAATTTGAGGCCAGCCTGAGCTACACAGGGAGTTCAAGACCAGCCTGGGCTAAAGAGTAAGACCTTAGTCTCAAAAAAAAAAAACAAAAAAAAAACCAAAAACAAAATCAAAATCAAAATCAGCAGCAGCTGTCACCATCTCTCATCCTCCTTTTCTTCCTCCCCAATATTTTCTGGTTATTCCTACTACCTTATGATCCCAGATAAATTTTAGAACTATTTTATCAACCTAAACCTACCTCACTAGAATCTCACTTTGTTTTTGTTTTGTTTTGTATTGCTTGTGCAGTGCTGGAGGTTAGTTCCAGGGCCTTGTATACGCTAAGCACACGCTGTATCGCTGAGCCATACTAGAGTTCTCTCTCCGTCCCCCACTCCCATCTATTTCTCTCTCTTTTTTAAGATTTCTTATTTTATTTTTTGTGTATGAATAGTTAGCCTGGATGCATGTCTGTATATAGCATGCCCAGTATCTGTATATGCCAGAAGAGGATGTCAGATGGGTCTATGAATGGTTGTGAGCCACAGGGGATGTTGGGAACCAAACTGGGTCCTCTTCAAGAGCAGCAAGTGCTCTTAACCAATGAGCCATCCCTCAAGCCCCCAGAACGTTTGCATTTTGTTTGGCAGATGATAAATAAATGTATGTACAGGGCACGATGCAATGTTTCAATACATGTATACATTGTAGAACGAACAAATCAGGGTAACAGCCATCACCCCAAACAGCCACAGCTTCCTTCAAAACACTTTATCTGATTATATTAGAAAGTTGTCTGTTTTTTTTTAATATTTATAATATAGCCAATCACTTTCCTGACCCTTTAATTAGTTTGAATCACTTTCTAGTTCATGTCTTCTAGACAGACTACCAAACAACAAACAGTGGGGTTTTTATCTCTACTCCTACCACCCTTTCCCTCCCCCAGGGATGGGTCTACTATGTAGCCTAGGCTGAACTCACAATCCTCCTGCCTCAGCCTCCTGACTAACTGAGATTACAGGTGCGCCTGGCCACGGCTCGCTTGCCTCTTGTAGCCAGTTTTCTGCACTGCGTGGCTGCTGCTAGAACCTCGTGACACGATGTGAAATAGGGGTGTGGGCAGTCACAGTTTCTCCCGCAATTAACAGCAAGCCTCTGATGTTTAATTAAGGATGGTGTCAGCCTTCTGCTCAAGGCAATTATAGCTAATCCGCTAGCTCAGGAGCACTGTTCTCTCATCATCTGCTTTATTAACACTGGGAATAGATACTTAACTTTATCCAGTTAAAATTATTCTAGGTAGAATCCAAGGATAGAGCCCAATATGGTGATCTACCCCTGTAATCCCAGCACCGGTGCAATAGAGACATGAAGATCAGAAGTTCTAAGTCAGTCTTGGGTACATTGTGAGTTTAAGGCCAGCCTGGGCTACATGAGATGAAGGAGAGGGAGGGAAGGAGTCAGGGAGGGAGGGAAGAATCCCACTCATCACACGACAACAGGAAAGAGACTCACATACCTGCTTGCCTGCTGCCCTGACCCTACCAGGTTACAGAAGAGGATGAGCACCCTCTCACTGTGGAGAGGCTTCGAGAACCGCTGGCTATCACGGACTGCCAAGCGCGGTGACACTGACAGACCAGACGGATGAGCTGGAGGAGAGAATGACACCAGAGCATCTATTCACCATGGGGGAACGACACCAGGTGACTCTGAAGGGAGTGGTGAGGCTCTCGGCATTGAGTCAGTTGGCACCTGGCATATACAATTCATATACATATGATATGATTTTGCGGTTGTAGTCAGTCAATGATTTTAAAAGATGAGCCAGGGTTTAAGTAGCAATTTGCAAAAGCAATCTGGAAAATACCTTCAAATTACTTGGGTTGTTTTTATGTGTTCATCCAAAAGAACCTTAGAGCACCCACTACCAGAGACAAAGGAGAGGACCTGAGCTAGTCTCCTGTTCCTGTCAGTTCTGAAATACTGATTTTTTTTTTTTCAAGGAAAACATGTGTCACCCATGATTGAATGAAGTTAGGGCTTATTTCCCTGGGTTGCAAAACAGTCAAGGTCAATCAGTGTTTTGTTCTGGATTATGCAGCCCAGAATTCTCCTGTTGACTCAGAGAACATCAAAACATCTGCTTCCCACAGCTCACTGCCTAGGCTACCTCAGGACAAATGCTCAGAGCACAGGATTCATCTGAGCTGTGGCAGCTGCCATTCACGTTACCAACCCTAGGCTTTTTTCCTGCCATTCTTACCTATGATATATATTCATTTGTAAGTCAGATATAGTAAGAGAATAATAACACAAATAATAAAATAGGATGATAATAAGTTACTATCCTAAAGGTTATTTAATATCCATCAGTTGTGAGGCTGGGGCATAGCTCAGTGGTGGAGTGACTATTTGACAAACATGCATAAATCCCCAGGTTTCATTCCCTAGAACCTTAAAACAGATACACACACATTAGCAATGGATATTTCCAAAATTTTTCTTTTAATGTTTTTAGAGCATAGGGGTGTAAGTAACAGAAACTCAAAAAAGGGAATCTGCCGGTAAGTGAAGGCTGCTGCAAGATGTGGGATTCCCCTCTGTATGCTGTGAATACCACTGGTTAGTAAAGAAACTGTTTTGGGCCTATAGCAGGGCAGAACAGAGGTAGGTGGGGAAAACTAAACTGAATGCTAGGAGAAAGAAGGCAGAGTCAAGGAGAAGCTATGGAGGCTGCCAGAGATAGACATGAGGAAACTTTGCTGGTAAGCCACAGCCATGTGCTGATACACAGATTAATGGAGATGGATTAATTTAAAGATGTGAGTTAGTAAAAAAAATATTCTTAAGCTATTGGCCAAACAGTATTGCAAATAATATAGTTTCTGTGTGGTTATTTCGGGTCTGAGCTGCCAGGATGCAAGGAAACAAACAAGCTGCCTTCCCATGACAGCTGCATGCTGCAATGGGGTCTTAAAACATTGTCTTCTAAACCAGCTAATTGTGCTAAAATGTACACTGATGGACAATGAAGGTCATCTGAAAAAAAAAAATGACCACATTCACCAGTCAGAGGTTCAGGAAAATTACAAGCATTAGGAAATAGGAACTGCTAACAGGAACAGCTCTGTGTGTGTGTGTGTGTGTGTGTGTGTGTGTGTGTGTGTCCGTCTGTCTGTCTGCCTGCCTGTCTGATCTCTTTACCTATCTATAGCTCAACTGGTAGAAATCCGATAAAAACTGAGAATTGTAACAGTCCCGAGACAAAGACTACAGCAGGACCTCCTGCTAAGCAGGGAGTGGTTCCCAGAGAATGGTCCCAGGATCTGCATATTCAGCATCTTCAGGAAATGTGATTGACAGGCAGGTTTTCGGGCTCCAGCGATTGACATGCAGATATTCAAACACCCCCTCAGATCTTTAAATCAGAAATTGTGAGTAAGGGGCCCAGAAGTCTGCTTTAAGTAGCCTTCCTTGTAATTCTAATACTCCCTGAGATTTTAATATCCATCATCTGTAGATCAAATTACAGAGGAAATGAGCCCAACAATTCGGAATGTTGAAGCTAAAGATCTGCAGTCTCCGCACCCTGAGAAGACCCCCTCAAACCCATAACTCACATAAAACTAATTATTCCAGGCACTACTGTACCTGAGAGTGTCCCTGGACCGGGTAAGGGAGGGACTTGGAAAGCATACACATTATCACCCTCCGCAATGATATTCAGATCCTCTTCATCAAAGAATGACCGCTGGAATCCATTGGGATACAGTTCAACCAAGATCACCTGAAATGAGAAGGATCATTTTCTCAAAAAGAACCCAACAGATAAGAATCCAAAAACAGGGTCAGCAAGATGGCTCAGTGGGGAAAGGTATTTGTTGCCAAGCCCAATGAACTGTTTGATCCTGTTTGAGCCTGTTTGAACCCACATGATGGAAGGAGGGAACTAAATCCTGCAAGGTGCCCTCTAGACTCTACATATGTGCATGTGTGTACATACACACACACACACAATAAAAATAAAGCTTAAAAAATAAACAACTCAGAGTCTTAAAACTTATTTCTTCTTTCCTTCCAAGAGCCTACATATTTAAATCATAAAATATAGCAAACATAATAATTAACCACAGACATATTAACTGCAACCATACACATGCACACACATACACACTAAAGTTTTATACCTAGCTAACCTACCACAGCACAAGTAGAAAAAAAGCACTTGGATAAATAAAATGTTTTTCATGAACAGTGTTCAATTAAGAGGGACTAAATATGGGGTTACTAACTTTTCTCATACAATGTCATGCCTGAAAAACAAGTTCATGGAACACAGGAAGAAGCAGGTGGTTTTACACTACAGAAAAGAGACCCTGCTGCCCCAGAAACCAATTCAAATTCAGCACCTCAATATACACGTTGCATAGAGCCCCTTTGAGACATACTGGCTGGGAAGTTCTCTTATAAAAGATATAGTTCAGGCTTTAAAAAAAAAAAAGCTGAATCAGAAGAAAATTTTGAGTTATAAAAAAGAAATGAATCAAGGAAAATAGTACACATTGAGTTTAAATCTTTACTCTACATTTAAACCATAAGACCAAATAAAACTACATTTAACTAAAGTAAAGGGAGGGGAAATATATATTATAGAACAATAATAATTACTATCTTACTATCTACAATAATTTATTTTTGAGGGGCTCAGGTCAGGGTCAGAGTCAAGACAAGCCCTGAGTATACGTGTCCCCAGCTGGCCTGACCTGGAACCTGGCAGCAATCCTCTTGCCTCAGCCGCTCAAATGCTGGATTATAGGCATGCAACACCAACACCTGGCTTCTATCTGCACTAACATCTAAACCAAAAAGGTGTAAGGGAATCAGAGCAAATCCAAGATCTCTGTGTAGTTTCGAGAATTTTTAACATTAGGTTTTGCTCATTATTCACACTGGCTTTGTTAAATAAAAAATTAATATATGTATCACAAATCACAAGATATAGAGTAAATATGCCCGGATACTTCCATTCCCATTCACAAACATGCCAATCAAATAAATCAAAACATCAATAGGGATGCCTAAGCTCCAGCCAGACTGCCCATGCTCTACTGACACCATGTGAGTCCCATCCCCCTCGCAAAGCATCCGGTGCTTCACACTGCTAGCAGTCCTGCCGCCACTCAACCTCTGCCTCTACCAGACGGTCCCTTTTGACCTTTTCATGACTGTCAGTTCTCCCAAAGTGCTCTCCCTCTTTCTCTTCACACACACACACACACACACACACACACACACCCCTCCCTACAACACTTGAAAGTTCACTCATTTTTACATTTATTTATTTTGCAAGGGTAAGGTCAACCACAGCATGTGTTTAGAAGTCAGAAGGCAACTTTCCAGAGTCAGTTCTCTCCCTCCACGAAGGCGCTGGCAGATTGAACTTGGGGCATCAGTCTTCATGGCAAGCACCATTACCTTCTGAGCCATCTCGTAAGCTCCACTTTAGAATTGACAAGGAAAATATGCATTATTTTTCTCCTGTGTGAGAGTTTCATAACAATGCTACAGGTTTGAGATGGAGGTCAGGGCTCCTGAGGTAGAGGTAGGAGGCAGCCAGTGGAATGGTGGAAGCCTTGGCAACCAGGGTGGTTATACAAATATACAGACAGCCACAACCATAAGATGTATATTCTTTGTCGTATGTACACTATTATAAAAAAGGTTACGCGTGTTTTCGTTTGTTTAACTTTAAAAAGTCCTACCAGGCTATCTGGGAAGCATAAATTTTATAGTTAAAGAAACAGAATTCTGGCTGATCAGCTACTCGCAGGGTCCAAGCCAGAGAGCTGGAGAGCAGCTGAGTCACAGCTAGAACCCTACTCATCTAAACTGGATTTCAGATCACCATGGAAACATCCCTGAAAATACTCAGGAATGTGTTTCTAGAAAGGTTTAGCTGAAGATGAAAACCCATGATGAATGTGAGCCTGGGGCCAGACTGAATGCAAAGAAGGCAAGCTGAGCACCATCATTGATCTCTCTCTGCTTCCTGACTGCAGACAGCAGTGTGAGCAGCTGCCTCACACCGCTGCCACCACACCTTCCCCGCCAGGACAGGCTGTAGCCCTCACACTGTGAGCAGGAATAATCTCCTTCTCTCAGAAGTTGCCTTTTGCTGCATTTTTGGTCACAGCAATGAGGAAACTCATGCATGCTCTTGTCTTGCCATGCTGCTTGTCAATGGATCACTTTTATCCCACCATGTCACAGGGGTCTTCCAGGCACAGTACAGCCAGCTCATCACCAGGACTCCTTAGAAAGCAAAATCAAGCCGAGTGTGGCAGCTCACACATGTAACCCCCAGCACTCAGGAGGCTGAGGGAAGAGAACCGCCGTGAGTGTAAGGCCATGCTGGGCTTCAGAGCGAGTTCTACAGCCAGCCTAAACTACAGAGTGAGACCTTGCCTCATGAAGGGAGGGAAGGAGGGAGGGAGGGAGGGAGGGAGGGAGGGAGGGAGGGAGGGAGGGAGGAAGGAAAAGGGAGGGAGGGAGGGAAGGATGGAGGGAGGAAGAGAGGCTTAGTGGCACACACCTTTTCATCCCTGTACTTGTGAGGCTGAGGCAGGAGGATCATGAGGTCAAAGTCAGCTTGGGCTATACAGTGAGGTGGTCTCAAACAAACAAGACAAAACAGAGTCTTGTTTCTTGTTTCTGTTCCCACCCTCTCCATCTTCTCTCACATTACATTCAGTGTCTGCCTCTCACTGAGCATCTCTTTGGTACCCGGTCGATATTCCCAGAAGTAGAGACGCATAAAACCACAGGCATTCAAACCCCAGCTTAGCCACCTCCTTGTTTGTATGACCTTGGACCATTCATTTAACCCCTCTGAACCTTTTTCCTTGCTTCCAAGATGAAGGCCTTTGTGGTTTCTTCTCTACAAGAGTGAATAGGATTGACTCTTGGAGTCAGCTGAGCACAGCAGAGCACTGTGGTGCATGCCTATAACCTCAACACTAGAGAGGCGGAGGCAGAAGGGTGGCTACAAATTTAAGGCCACTTTGAACTATATACAGGAGTATCAGGCTAGCCAGAACCATGTAGTGAGACTCTATTATCTCAGGAAGGGAGGGAGGGAGGGCTCAGGCGTAGGACAATGTCCCTCCCTTAGTAAGTATGACTGTTTAGCTGCTGTTGGACGGCAATCTCCATCACCTTCTGAATGGCAAAGTGTTCCCTTGCGGTCATCCTGAGTGATAAATAATGCAGGGAGATGTCAAGGCCAGGTCACCACAAACACCCAGGGGACAACTAATCAAACAGAAGCCAGTGAGTCATGCTCGAGTCATCTGGGAACCACACACTAGCCTGGGCGGCTGGCCCAGTCAGCATTCTGTCTCCCAGTGGCCAGGCCCAGCAGTTCCAGCACACCTCCTCTGCAGGGATGCCTCCTTCCTCAGCAACCATCTTCCTCAAGGCGGCCACAGTGCTGAGGATCGGCACAGCCAGGCCAACCCGCAGAAACCGCTGGCTCTTGGAGGGGAAGACCAAAGTGACACTCAAGAATCTGGAAAACAGAAGAGGAGCCAAAATCCTTAATGTCCGTTAAGGTGACAGAAACAGTCACCAGCACCAGGACCATGGGGACAGACAGCATTTATACACAATTTGCTAGTTGGGTCCTTGCACTTTAGGTACCCTTCCAATAGGTGGCAGAAAAGAGCCAAATCTCACAAACTGCTTTTCCAGAGGGCTGAACATAAAGGGTTTTGAGTGGAAGCCAAATCGCATAAATCTCTGGTCCCCTGACTGTAACAGTTAAATAGAAAGGATTAAAAAGCAAACAACAAGGCTGGGCGGGGGTGGTGCACACCTTTAATCCCAGCACTTGGGAGACAGAGGCAGGTGGATCTCTGTGAGTTAAGGCTGGCCATCCTGGTCTATAGAGTTAGTTCTAGTATAGTCAAGGCTACACAAAGAAACCTTGTCTCAAAAAAAAAACAAACAAACAACCTGTATTTTGTAAAACAAAACAGCCAAGCTTCTCCTTTCGAAAGAAATCAACTGCATTGGTGACTTGTCCTCCGTGAGAATTTCCCTTGTCAATCTCTGCTTTCACTCCCCCCCACAGCCCTCAGAGGCCACTCCTGGGGGAGTCTGCCGTGCTGTGGTAACTAGCCAAGTCAAAAGCGAGGGTAAGAACCTGCTGAGTCTGTCTCAGGGTCACCGTTTAACCACGGTGCTGCCAAGGGTCTTCAGTCTCAGCCTACATTTTCCAAGGCTGCCAGTGGCAGTATGACCTACGTTACTGTTTAAGATGACAGTTCTGCTTGTGGCGCTGATGGCAGAGACAGCACGGCAGGTCTGAGCAGACGGAGTGGGGCCTGGTGAAGAGGGCTTGTGCTCTGCTAGACCCTACACATGAAGACTCCCACGGGAATACAAAGGAGGGATAGGGCCGAGGACGGTGGGACCACAGTGACGAGCACCTCCGTCTACATGCCAGGACTGGCTCCACATTCAGATTCACCAACCTTCCATGACACTGGCCTGGCCATCTGTGCTGGTGGCAAAATGGGCTTCCAGGAAAGGGACCACACTGCCAGTTCCTTGCTTTTGGATACTGCAGCCCACTGCTCGCTCATCCCAACACCACTTTCTTCTCATCTTCACCAAAAAAGCTGTTTTTCCTCTTTCTTTGCTCCTTCATGAAATCATTTCCCTATAATCACATGTGGTAGCTCACACCTATAGACCCAGCCCTTGGGAAGGTAAGGCAGAGGGATGGCCAGCTTGAGCTACTTAATGAGTCTCTGTCTTAAAAAAAAAGAATGAATGAATTAAAAATTCCCTGTCTCTTTATAAAGAAGGAAGGGGATCCTGAGGTACAATGGGGAAGAGGTTGCAGCAACAGAGGCCCTTGTCTGATGGGGGGGTGGAGCCTGTGCCAGCTCCAGAGAGGGCCAAAGACCTAAGTCAGGACACAGCATGGACACACACAAGAATCCTGTTCACGTTCCTTCCTCAGCTAAAGAATGGACTCTCTTTACTTACCCATTCAGTACTGAGTGTCACCTGACTGCAGGACGGGTCTCTAGAGAAACGCTAAGTGAAACACGGCAGATTGAGAACCAGAGGGTACCCAGGAGAGAGGAGGGAAGGGTCGAGTATGGCGGGCATGCCATGACACTCAGGACACTCACGTACCTCGTCTGGCGCAAGGGGATGGGAAGGGACACACACAGGAAAGGATCGAAGGTGTTGCTTTGCTTCAGGCAGTGAGGACAAGTCAAGGAAGATCTGTGAGGGTGAAGAACAGAGACAAACCTTCATCACACAGAAGAAAAGAGAGGTGCTCAGCTCATAACTTATATGTGAATGTTCCTTGCAGCCTTGTTCACAAGAGTCAGAGGGGAATCAACCAAGCTACCTGGCTATAGAAAAGAGGTGAACAAAATGTGGTACATCCACACGGTGGAATACAACTCAGCCATAAAAAAGAAACAGAGCCCTGATACTTTGAAAGTATCACATCAAGTACCAAGAAAGACCCAGACACACAAGGCTACCTATTGTATCATTGTTGGTATGAAATATGTAAAATAGGAAAGCCAAAGAGACACAATACAGAGTGAAGGTTTATAGAAGCTGGGAGAAAGGGAAGTGGAATGTGACTAACTCCTGGGTATCAGATTTTCTCTTTGGGTGATAAAAGTTTTCAGGAGCCAGAAGGAGAGGGTGGCTACCCAGCATTGTGAGCATACATGGCGCTGGGTTGTGTATTTTAAATGTACAATTGAGCTTGGTGTGGATGCTGATGCAGGAAGAACACCAGAACCCAGAAGTTCGAGACCAGAATGTACCAAAGAACAAAATTAAATGGATACTTGTTGAAGTAAGATGCTTAATTTTATGTTTTAGGACTTTCCCCTTTTGAGGAGAGGAGGAGAGTTTAGTCTCATGTCTCAGCATACTAAGGATGGGAAAAAACATTGCATACCAGCTTTCAAGCCAAAGGGGTCTCAGGGTCTTTTTATCCCTGGTGCTTAGCTTCCCTGAGCCCCCAAAACACACAAATAAAATTTTTTAAATTACATTTATTTATCTCATAGGGGGTGAGTGGGCATGCCGCGGTATGCATGTCAAGTCAGACAACAGCCTTTGGGAGTGGGGACTCTCCTTCCACCATGAGGGTTCTGACATGGAACTCAGGTCACCGGGCTTGTCAGCAAGTACCTTTACTCTGAGCCTTTGCACTAGTCCACAAGCACTTTTTAAAGGTCTAGGCTTCTAGGCTTTTCTGCCATGGATTCTATTTCAATGAGGGAAAGGAGGGTCTCTGGCATCTTGAGTTTAAAAACTTCCCAAGAGCCAGATGTGGTGTTTCACAGCTGTAATCCTAGTACTCGAGAAACCGAGGTGGAAGGGTGGGAAAGCTCCAGGCCAGCCTAGGCTATATAGCAAGACACTATCTCAAAGAAATTACTAATAACAATAAAAACAATAGCAACAACAACAATAATGACATAGGAAAAGCAAGAAGATCAATCCGTGGATTCACCTGAGGCATCTGCTCATTGCTAGACCTCGGGAATACAAGTTATCTAAATAGAGAGTCGTTACCAAAGGTTAGCAGTGATTTAGAAAACAGTCCCCATGGCCTTTTGTTTACTTGCTCGCTGGTAGTGCTGGAGCATGCGGCCTCAGGACTACTAGACATGCTGTCTACACCACATCACACCCCAGTGTCCCCAGCTCACACTGCTGCTGAACTCACCCAGGAGAGTCAAGGTAGTGTTTTGATAAAAGCAGTGTGTCCCTCAGCATTTGCTGGCCGCTGGGCGTGGCATCGTGGGGTTCCCTCTGCTGCCCAGTTTCTCTTCAGAACCCCCCACCTCTTCAGATCACCATGTGCCAGGCCGTGTAACAGGTCACAGGATAGATTCTTGGGTTTGGAAAGCATCCTAATCCCTGCTTCACTCTTTGCTTCTTTTAGCCTCCACAAAACAAAAGCAGGCGCATGTCCTCTCAAAGAGTTGCATCGTATCAAATTCGTCCAAGAACATGGCCTTGACTTCTTTTCTCTAAATGTATTATGTGTGCATGTGAGCATGTGCAGGTGCCTGCAGAGGCCAGACAGAGCTGTCACATCCTTTGGAACAGGAATTATGGGAATTTGTGAGCGGCCTGATGTGGGTGCTGGGATCCAAACTCGTGCTCTGAAAGAGCGATGTATTTATTCTTAACTGCTGAGCCACATCTCCTGCCCCAGTGTGACCTGTCTATTACCTGAATTTATCTCAGGTAGCAAGAGATGTGTTATTTGGGGGGGGGGGAATCTAAGTTGCTAATTATTTGTATTATATGTGAATGTATGTGCATATATATATGCATATGTATGTAATTTATGGAAGTAAGAATCAAACCCATAGAGTTGTATTATATCAAACTTCAAACAGTTGTATCGTATCCAACTGGTTCAAGAATATGACCTTGCACACACCAAGCATGTGCTTTACCGTTGAGCTATAGCCTCATTCTAAGTTCACATAGATCATAAGCACTATATTTTAATAGTATATAAAACATAAAGTGAATTATCAAATCCTATATAAATACTACACATTGACTGTAAAAAAAAAAAAAAACCCTCTCACAGAAGTTGAGAATAGAATGGCAATGACCAGAGATCAGGGAGAAGGGATGGCAGATGAAGAAATGCTGACCAATGGGCATGAACTCACAGGTATCAAGAAGTCCTGTATTTAACCATGTAGGTGAAATCATTAAAAATAACTAAATATTATACATTTTATGAGATTTTTTACCATAAACAAATGATGAATGTTTAAAGATACACATATATATATATTTAGCATGACATTATATATTACAGGACACATGTCAAATCATCATATCATTCACATGTTCAATTTTGATTTTTTTCCTGTCTTTAAAATATGGAGTTTAAAATGTTTGAAATACACAGATGTGGAAATCTCACATAAGAGGTTTTCTGTATCCAGTGGCTTTCCATAAGTCGCAACCTCTATGCTCATTCCTACCCTGAAGCTTGTAGTCATCTTTGTTGAGTATGCCCCCCCCTCATTTGATCCTCCTCGGCTATTGAAGTCCATGAAAAGACACATGTGGCCGAGCAGTCTGGGGCTAGGGTCTCCTCTTTGAAGTCTCATTGCTGCAGGTATTTTTGCTAAACACCATAATTCTTTCAAACTTCCCTACTCTCCTATAGAAATACACATGGCCATGTGATGATTTCTATATCCCCATGCTGTGCTGAGCTCACAATGACTAACTCAAGCCATGCTGCGCAAACAGGAAGGGCCCCCTCGCTTCGGTGTAACTTCAGCTGGTGATAGTCTGGCTTCCACATCCCTGCTCTACAGGACCATCCCCCAGCCACTCCTTCCTTCCTTTAAAGGGGGGGCAGAGGGCCATTCCAAGAGCCAACAAGGAAAAGTAGAGATCCTCAAGGCTGGAGTCCACAGGAGGTTGACTGGGGCTGCGACAGGAAAGGGAAGGGTCTTTGTGTGTTTTGTCGTGGAGGGTCAAGGGCCATGTGACACAGGTGACCTCTGTGCAGAGCCCCTGGAGACCACACTGGAAGAACATGCCGCCTCTCACCTGTACTGTGCTTGAAAGTGGCTCTGCACAAAGCTGGGGCCTAGCGGGAGAGGAGCTGCAGATGGCCGGAGGTCCTCCGAGGCCTTGCTGGCGTCTGGGGGCAGCTGCAAAGAAACAGGAAAGAAACCCAGTGACGTCCTGTCCACATTATGTCACACAGCTGCTTCCAGACCATGGAGCCCATTAAACCCACCCCCGATGCCCACACTGTCCCTTCCTGAGCCTTGAGGAGCGATGATCTTCAATACTGCCTTTACCATCCCTCAGTGTTCTTCCGATCCTGCTGCCCGCTCCCCCACCGAGTCCATGAGGAAGGGTAGCTACGTGTGCTGAAAGCAGAGCCAGAAGATGAGCATAGCGGGAGCTCACACACACACCCAGGTCCGACTCCGCCCTGGGGTTGATGGCAGGGCTCTTCACCTATGTCCTGCTAGGGCCAATATCAGTACCAATAGTCTAAAAGGAAGGTGCCACCCGCTCCAGAGGTTCTAGCAGGAATCTTCTCTTAGCCTCTTCCAGATTCAGTGCTGCTGAACTGCCTATCCTGTGGCCACACCACACCGTCCTCAGGGCCAGCATCTTCAAACCTCTCTCTGCTCTGTATTTATGCTGCTCCGTCCTCTGTGGTCTGCAAACTCCCTCTGCCTCTGTTATAACAACACTCAATATTGTGCTAAGGGACCACCTGGATAATTCAAGTTAATTACCCTAATTCAACACTCTTAATCACGCCTGCAAACATCAGATCCAAATCCCTGCATCCTTAATTTATCTTTCTGGGTCATCTTTCACCTCTCCTCCCTCGGGGCTCTGGTCCACACCAATATTCCCAGTCTCCTCTGGAAGGCTATCACTCCCAGTACGAACTGCGTCAGCTTCCCAAGTTCCCTAGGTACTCTTCCTCTCAGCCCACTCCACACCACACAGAGGGCATAATTGCTACACAGGATCCATGCTGCTGGAGAGGGCAGTCCAGGGGGCCGTTCCAATCACAATACCTCAAAATACAAAGCTGTTGAGTAAATATTTGAGCATCCATGTAAGAGCAGACATATAATTTGCCTGCCAACACTGCATCTCAATTTCTCAGGGTTTTTTTTTTTGTTGTTGTTGTTTTTTTTTTTTTTGTCCTCACTACCCTGAGGAATCATTTTAGACATGTTCTGGGCATTGCATCCAGGGCCTCACACATACTAGGCAAGTACTCTACCACTGAGCTTCCTCTCCAACTAAGCATGCTTTTCAAAACACCTCCAACACAAAACTATAGTATAACACTGTGCACACCTCTGTGTGTTATGTGAATATCTATCTCCTAGACCCGTTCTTGGCATTTGGGGACCTTGGACATATTCTCTTTGCTTCTGTGTCACCATGAGCAATCTTTATTCTCTTAAATTGTTTCTGTTGAGCATTTTCTAACAGTGATAACACACGTGGCTAATATATTCAGCTTTTCTAACCCAGTTAAATAATTTACTTGCTTTGTAGGCTTTTAATCTCAGTCCATTTTTGGTTGCTATAATAAAATACCCAAACTGAGTAATTTATTCTCTCTTGTTTTGTGTTGTCATTGTTTGTTTGTGTTTGGGTAGAGTCTTGTGTGGGGGAACAGGGGGGTTCAGGTAGCTCTGTTGGCCTCAAACTCACTCTGGACCCATGACCAACTTTAAGATTCCTGATTTTCTACCTATACCTCTCAAATGCTGGGATTACAGGCATGCACCGCTACTCTGGTCATACTGAGAAAGGCTGGTTTCACTTGTAATTCTATAGGCTAGAAGACGGCACTACATCCTCTCAGCACCTGGCAAGGGCCTCGGGGCTCACAACAAAGCAGACATCTCGTCCTGGTCTTATGAAGCCACCAATCCCATCATGGGCACACCACACTCTCATGATCTCATCTGTCTCAATTATTCTCCAAAGGGCTTGGCTTATTTCCAAATACCATTAGCAGGACTGAGGCTGGAGCTGAGTGGTAGGGAGCTGCTTACTCCCTAGCATGTGTGAGGCCCCGGGATCCATTCCCAGCACTGCAAAATACCATCAGCACACAAGTGTGGGGATTAAGTCTCCAGCATGCGAACAGTTTCCTAATTCTGATATGGGAGTCATGATAGCACCTGTCTGAGAGAAGGCATGTCTTGAGGGGTCAGTCATTCATAGATAGTGTGGTAGTCAGGGTTACTGCTGCTGTGATAAAACACGACCTAAAGCAACTTGGGAAGGAAAGGGTTTATTCACTTTACATAACCAAAGTCACAGTCCACGAGGGAAGCCAAGGCAGGCACTCAAACCAGGTAGGAACCTAGAGGTAGGAGCTGATACAGAGGTCATAAGAGGGTACTGCTTACTGGCTTGCTCCTCATGGCTTGCTTAGCCTGCTTTCTTATAGTACCCAGGACCACCGGCCAAGAGGTGGCACTACCCATAATGGGCTAGGCCCTTTCCCACCAATCATTAAAAAAAAAAAAATACTCTATGTACTTGCCCAAAGTCTGATCTTATGGAGGCAATTTCTCATTTGAGGTTCTCTCCTCTCAGACACCTCTAGTTTGTGTTGACATAAAACTATCCAGCATAGATAGATAGATAGATAGATAGATAGATAGATAGATAGATAGATAGATAGATACATACATACATACATAACATACATACATACAACATACATAGACAGACAGAGAGATGATTGATAGGCAGATAGATGACAGACAGACAAACAAAACTATCAGCTATTTCAATATGTAACACCCACCACCTGTAGAGTACTCAGTATGTGCCAGGCTAGGTATCTGCTTGTTAACCAGAGTGTTAGCTCCATGCTTACAGGCATGCTTTAACTCAACAGCCATCCCTAGGAAAAGGAGAACATCAGAAGATTTAAGTGTCCAAGTAACAAGCAGGTGACCTGAGAAGAAGCCATGAAGATGAAAAGAGATGGGAGGGGAAAATCAAGACATCCTGCGTGAGGAGCTCTTAGTTCAGCAGAACCAAGGAGAAGAAAGAAAGGGATAAAAACACCAACTCCATGGTCGCCACTGAGGGGTGGCTGGACACGGGTTCCATTAACAGAAGTCAAAAGAGATGGGGCTGGAGAAAGACATACCAAATTCAAGGGTGTCTCAACAGCCAGAGAACTAGAATTGTTGTAGAATATTATTTTAGGGTGTGTTACTTTTGTTTATGCTATGGAACATTGGTTTAATGATGCAAAGCTGTGTTGCTTTTGTTTATGCTGCATTTGTTTAACTCTGTGAAGCTGTGTTACTTTGCCTGTCTAAGACACCTGATGGTCTAATGAATCCCTGATCGGTCAATAACAAGGCAGGAGCAAGGATAGGCGGGGCTGGCAGGCATATAGGATAAATAGGAGAAAAGAGGAGAGGAGGATGTCAGGGGCCAGCCACCCACAGAGTAAGAGTGAAAATAAGACATATAGATGGAAGAGGAGGAAGAAGCCCAGAGGCAAGGGCAGTCTGGATAATTTAAGAAAAGCTGGCAAGAAAGAAGACAAGATAATCTGGGCATGTATAAATAATAATAAGTCTCTGTGTGTGATTTATTTGGGAGCTGGGTGGTGGCCCTCTTGCAAAAAAGCCAAAAAAGGAAAAAGAGGGAAACAACACCATTTTGGTGTTCCAGCGTGGGGCTGGAGTAAAAGACAACAAGTACGCTGAGTGTCAGATATTTGCAAGGACAGAGAAGGGTGAACTTGCATTGTGTGGACACAGGGATGTTCTGGCTCCCCAGGATTTACCCTTCGTGAGCCCCTGAGTCCAGTCCCTGGGTGGAAATGTGGAATGTTGTCCTCTGAGAGGAGCTCAGCTGGGACTACCCACACGAGACTCTCCACACCCCCAGCTTGTTGCTGCTCCCTCATAAAAAGAGAACCTAGAAAGGGTCATGAGGCCCTCACTGAGATTCTGGCCGCACTTCCTATGTCCCGTCAACTGGCTGTAATCCCAACCCAGCTGCGAGTGGTCTCAGGCGGTTCTAGAGTATAGAGGAGCTGGAAGGCTGACTGAAAAGCAGAGGACTCCATGTGTGTGGCTTTAGGAGGTCGCTACCACACTGGGAAGGACCCGTTAGTGATAACAGCTCTTCTGAGGCCACACACACACACACACACACATCTCTAGGCCCCTCACCCATGCTCCTCTAATTGAGCCCAATAAACTCATTGGTTCTCCAAGCTAGACTTGGATGGAATGGTTAATTTGGTTGGCCATTAGTGACCTGGATGGGATAAAGAGATGTTTGCTTATGTCTCCCCAGGAAAAGCTTAATTCCCTACCAAGATACAGGTCCATGACCCAAACTGCACTGAGATGTCCCTGCCAGAACATGAGCAGTGTGACTAAGCTAAAAACGCTGATTCTAGCTGTCAGACTAGACAGGAAAGTTCCTGCCATCAAGGCTCCTCGTTAACCCAGAGCTGTCTCATTCTAGACAAGGTTCCCCATGTAATGCCGTGACTTCTCCCTGGCTGACCATATACGTTCCCCTCCTAGAAAGGCTTAAGTTCCATGCAACCAGGAACTTACACAGGAGAGTTTGAGAGAGAAATGACAAGCTGAGACACTAGGCATGACTGCAGATGGGGGTCACGTGGGCTGAAGTGTAGAAAGAAAATGCTGAGCAAGACAGGAGGAGAGGCAGTGGGACATCATTTATGAAACATGGACTGTGAGGTCGGAGGAATGTGAATCTGGACCCAGGTGAGCAAACCTTGCTGCCCTCAGAGCTTCAGGGATGCTTGAGCAGCATCCCCTAGCTTGCAACTGTGGTGCAAATCACGAGATGAGGTACACACCAGCACGGAGGTTCACACCCGTAATCCCATCACTTGGGGGCTGACACAGGAAGATCACTGGTTGAAAGGAACTTTGTACTCATTTTGAATTTTGAGGCCAGCCTGGGCTACCGTGTGAGTTTGAGGTTAGGATAAGCTACAGAAGGAAACTCTGTCTCAGAAAGTAAGGAGGGGGAGGGGAAGACTCTTGCCTAGCACACAATAGGTTCTTGATACATGTCTGCTGTTTCTCTCCTTAGACTCATTCCCACCTTTGTTCTGCAAAAGTAGCACTTTCTAGAAAACTATCAAAAAGATTGTTTATGAGTTGGTGTTTAGGGGGCAGTGAAAATACAGCCTTTGCAGGATGAAGTATTTGAGAATCGTTAAAGTGATGGAAAAGAGAGTGGCCCTTAAGTTTTCTATTCCCCTTACAAACAAATCTCGTTACAAGCTTCCCTATGTCCTCAGTACAGAAAGACCTTCATAAAAGAAAATCACTCAGAGTTACACAGAGGGCAGGAGCTTTCTTTGTGGAAAGGGAAAATGAAGTTTCCTGCTAAATAACCGAGAGGCTCTGCCCACTGCCTCCAGGATACACGGCCCAGCCATGAAGCAGCCCACCTTCCAGAAGCAACTTCAGGAGGGCTGAGAAGTGACACTGTTGGTGTCGCCGGGTCAGAGAGAGGCTGAGTAAGTCCCTTACTCCAGCCAACAGCCACCTCCAGACCTTGCCCAGGGATGTCCACCTGTTCCACAGAGGGACCAAAAGCTGATACGGTGAGGACAGGGAGCGAGGAGAGGAACCTGAAATCAGACTGAGTGGTTGGCAGGCCCAGGCAGGGAGGATTTGGTTCCAGGTCTTTAGGAAGTCACCAGAGCAAGGCAAACAGGAGATGACATCATCTTGTTCCCTTTCGGAAGAGATCTGGCTTCAGTGTGGAGAAAGCCATGGAGGACAAGACAGGAAGTGGGGCCCGGGAGTGTCACCTGCCTAGCAAGCACAAGGTCCTGGGGTCCATCCCCAGCCCAAAAGAAAAAGAGGAGGGAGGGAGGGAGGGAGGGAGGGAGGGAGGGAGGGAGGGAGGGAGGGAGGGAGGGTGGGAGGGAAAGAAGTTAGTTGAAAGACTGTTAATCATGGCTACTTTTTCTGTATCTTGAAATTACGAAGAATGACTGGCAGGCCCTCATGACATAAATAAATTCAAATGTCTCAAAGAACAGTTTGGGGATGGCACATATTCATAGGGAACAAAGATTTTAGAGCAGAGCTTCTCAACTAAAGGGTGATTTGGGTCCCCACTTCGGGGACATTTGGCAAGGTTTGCACACACATTTAGCAGCACAAGTCAGTACTGACCCTGGCACCTGCCACAAAGACACAAGTCAGCCCTGCAAAGGGAAAATTATCCAGCCGCAGATGCCAAGACTGCTCAGGTTCAGAAAGTCTGATATGGAGTGGGATTTCCTTGTGTTCAGGCTCTCCCGTTTCCTAGCTATGCGACCTGGATATACATCACTTGCCCTGTGATTTTTTTTTCTTGCTATCAAAGGAATAGGGAGGAAGAGCAAAAGGCAATTTGGAAGGCTGCTGCTGAAGTCTGGATCTGGAATGTCCCTCAAAGGTCCATGTGTTAAGGCATGGTCCCAGATTTTCACTATTAGGAGCTGGTAGAACCTTTAAGAGGCAGGGTCTGGTAGGAAGTCCTAGGTCACTGTGGTCATGCCCTGGAAGGGAACTGTAGGAATCCAGCCCTCCTCGGCCAACATGGGATAAACAGCTCTTCATGTGTTCCCACCATGAAGTGCTCCCCACAGCCCAAATCCATATGAAAACTCCCAGAGCCAATGTAAACATTTCTTCCTCTTAAGCTGATTATCACAACCATTTGTGACAGTCACAGGAAAGTGACACAGCTATCTCCCCCATCTACTCCCAGGCATGTAAGGAGAAAGGGCAGAACAGTCCTGGTTTACACAGCAAGAGGGAGTGGAGACACCTGTCCATATCTCTTCTCTACTAGGTAACCGAGAAGACACAGAGGCTACCATAAATGGAGGTTCAACACACTGGATCTGAGATAGATGGAGCCAGACTCGGTCCTATTCTACCAGGCAGAAGACGATGACCCTCCCAGGGGCATGATGGTGCACACCCATAATCCTAGCACTTAAGAGGTAAAAGCAAGAAGATCAAGTGTTCAAAACCATTCTTAGCTACATTGCGAGTTCAAGTTCAGTCTAAGCTACATGAGACTATCAAAGAGTGAGTGACCCTGGGAAACATCTAACCTATGTTTCCACTAACTATAGAATATGAATTATCATTATGCATATTAAAATAAGACAACCATTTAATAAGTTTACTGAGTACCTACTATATGCCAGGTCATGAAAATTGTCAAATCAGATATACAATATAGAAATCTCAATAAATGGTATCCTTTGTGTGTGTGTCTGTTTGAAAATGCGTTCTCTAAATTTATGGAAGGCCCAGAAGTAGACAACATACATCTGCAATTAATTCTGCCTCTGTAAAAGCCTTCCTTAGCACATGTTCTCCCACAGGCTTCTGACTCTGGGGAGTCCAATCAGACTGTTCCACTCTTCTGACCACAAGCCCAGGAATGAGCATGCTAACAACGCTAGGACAATCAGTGTTTGCTCTGGCATGCCAGTTCTGGAGACTCTATGAGCAATGCAGAAGGCCCTCTTGCTCCCCACGTGGGCAGAGCCAGAACGAGAATGAAGAGACAGAGTCAGAGACACAGTGACATCACCTGGGACCTTGGATGCATTCCCATCCAAAGCTGCTTCAACCAGAATTGCAGGTTATAAAAGACAACAAATGCCCTTTCCTTTAGCCAGATGAAGTTAAATTTCTATCACATAAAACAAAAAGATCTGAAAAAGATCCATGGAAAAATGACTATAAATAAAAGGGAAAAAAAATCACCCATTCCCCTCCCAGCCGTGAAATAGCACCATATTGGTGTGTGGTTCCCTGGGGTTTTTGCTGTTTGGTCAGCCTGAAACTCAATATGTAGACCAGACTGGCCTTTAACTCACAGAGATCCACCTGCCTTTGCCTCCTAAGTGTTGGGGTTAAATACGTACATCACCATACCTGGCTTCTACTTGGAGCTTTGTTAGGGTGACCACTGGTTTTGTTTTTCTGGTGTTCTCCAATCATTGGAGTGATTGCTTTTAAAACAAGAAAATAGGCTTTCAAGGCAGAGTCTCTTGTGTTACTTTCTGGCTAATTTCAAGGTGCACAGGTTACCTACTCTTTGAGGATCTGGTTACTCTAACTTGGCCCACTTATAATGTAATTTCACTCACTTTTCCTTGAGCAATAAAGAGATCATAATAAAGTATGAGATACTATTGGCCTTAATTTAGGAAAGCTCATAAAGAACATAGTCAATGTGCCAATTACCTGTTACAAAGTATTACAGTGTGGTTGGGTTTGGTGGCACACAACTGTCATCCCAGAACTTAGAGAAGCAGAGGCAAGGGGAGTTTGAGTTTAAGAGTAAAAAACCATGGACCACACATGACCAAGCTCCAACCCCCAGCACTACAGGGACAGAGTGAGCTAGGAGGAGGGCCCCAAGTTAAAGCCTGAGCTACACAGCAAAACTCCATCTAAACAAAACAAAACAAAAGCCAACAGCAACAGAAACAAACCCACAGCACTATAATGCTTCCTTTGTCCCAAGACCTGAGGGTTCATCAAAATCAGAAATTACACACTCATGTCTTAAAAAAAAAAAGTACCTGCTCTGTGAAATACATTAACCGAGAAAGCAATAGTAGAATTGACTGAATTAGAACTGCCTCAAAATAACAAAAAAGAACTCTCATGGATCCAGATGTCCAGAGAAATGCATAGAATAGGCAAGGAAAAAATTAAGGAAAATATTGGCGGGGGCGGGGGGGGGAGGCTTGGGAGATGCCTAATTAGAAAAGAGCCTGCCACACAAGCATAAGGAAGTGAATTCAAGTCCCCAAGTAGGAGCTAGGCGTGGCAATGTGCCCTTGCAATCTCAGCACAGAGGAAGAATCAGCTGGAAGGTCCCTGGTGCTTGTTGCCAGGACAGTTTAGCCAAATCAGCAAGCTCCCAGTTTATCGAGAGATCCTGTCTCAAAAAATCCAGTGGTGCATGATCCAAGAAGACACCTGGCACCAGCCTCTGACATTCACATTTGCACCTGCACGCACATACAGAGAAAAATGTTTTCCAAATTAAGAGGCATAATGGAGTCCTATTCATGATTACCACTGGGATTAGGGAAGACAAGAAATACTGCAATAGGCAGGAATGCCTATCTAAAACCAGCAAGAGCTAAAGAGAGCAAGTCCAGAAGGCATACACTATGACCAAAATACACTGGAATCTAAGAGCTGTGTAAATGTCCACGGGGAGAAGGAAGAGCAACACACATGTTCTTTAGAGAGTGGCTCACCTGCTCAGACGCCAGTCCATGAGCCGAGCCCTCCAAGTCCTCATGGACACGGTCCAGCAGCCAGAGCAGGAACTCCAGGGCATCGTGCTGGGAATTGCCTTGGAACTGAGAGCCATACTTGGAAACGGCATTCTGAAAGGAAACAAAGATAAAAGTCACCTTGGGCCTTGACACAAACGAAGGAAGGTCTGTAAACACCAAGCTATCAAGTGGTCATCATGCAGCCTTGACCTGAAATAACAACTTGGGAACGACATAGGTAGAAATATTCTTCCCCACCCCCAGCTAGCAAATGGGTCCTCTGAAAAGAAGGCAGCTCCAGACCTTGAAGATCCATGAGGATGTCTCTATAAAATTGTGTGTGTTTATGAGCGTGTGCATGTGTGCGTGCGTGCGTGTGTGTGTGTGTGTGTGTGTGTGTGTGCACACATGCATGCATGCAAGGGCTGGTGATCTAAACTCAGGTCTTGCACTTTATTAAGCCATCTCTCCAGGCTCTTTGCTCAATACTTTCATAACGTTGATCGACCATCTATCCCTAAAGCCCTTGTCCTCTGATCATGGGGACACCATGCACCACTGACCTTCCTCCATCATTCTACTTCCACACTCTCTCACAGGTCACAGGGACACGCCCTTCTCACTCTACTCTCCTAGCTGACAGCACTAATTCTCAAGGCTTCCCCTCTCTTTGCTAATGACCATACGGAGAGCAAAACTGACTGCCTGAAATGCACATGTGTGTAGCTCCCTCACCAACATGCCGGCTGTAAAATACACACGTGTGTGGCTCCCTCACCAACATGCCGGCTGTGGGGCTTCACTCTGATCACTTCAGTTGGAGTCTCCCCCGAGCTTCCCTGTAGCTGAACCACCCACACAGGCAGGGCTGCCTGACTCAGCAGACAAAACTGAAAGCATATTGGCTGGCACTGTGGATCAGTGGTAGCATGCTTGCCTAGAATACACAAAGTCCTGGGTTCAATCCCCACAACTGCAGAAGGAAGAGGAAGAAAAGGAAGGATACACTGTACTAAAAAGTTACTCATTGTTTATCTGTAGATACTATGAACAGGGTGTCCCTACCCTACCCTTAAGCCACCCACAAAGCTGCCTCACAGTACTGACCTTCTTCCTCTTGTGCAGCCAGTCCCTCAACTCTGAGTCTCTAAAACCAGTCCTTTCTCTTAGCATTGATGCAGTTGGATTTCCCCACACACACAAATGCCTCTCTCCCTCTCCCCTACAATGAAGTAGGACAGAGCTTCTCATCTAGATGAACAGAAATAGTCAGAACTCAACAGTGTAGATGCCACATCTCATTACGGACCACAGCCCTTCCCTAGTCCATGAGTTCCTAAGAAACAAGACTCATTTTCCGGCAGCCCAGCTACTGTAGCAAAGCCTTCCTTATCCTACAAAGTAGCTCAAACTCCTTCACTGTTCCATCCTAAACTAACATCTTTCTCTAGTCTCTCTTTTCTCCCCTCCTTCTTCACTACCACCAAGATCTCCCATAGCCCTGTAGTCCAAACCTCAAACTTTGTAGTTGAGTATGACCTTGAACTTCTGACCCTCCTGTCTCTGCCTCCCTTGCACCAAGATTACAGACACCAAGTCTACTACCTCCCTGCTTCAAAGCCCCCGGTAAGCAAGCCACTCAGGTGCCCCAAACTTTCTGGCGTCCATGGTCTAGACCAGTATTTTTGTCTAGCCTCTCACAGTTCTGTCCCCTTCGGATCATTGTGAATTCTCTTCCTCTTAGCCTGGCTAATCATAATCAAAGCCTCACAAAGAATTTGACAACTTCAAGAAGACAGGTAAGATGGGATCCTAACAACAAAACTGTGTAGGGCTGGGGATCTGGCTCAGTGGATAAATGCACTTACTGCCAATCACGACAGCTGGAACTCAGTCCCCAAGGCCTGTGGTGGATGAAGAGAACTTGCAAGTTGTCTTTTAACCCTCATACAAGTTCTGTAACAGGCTGGCACTCACAGGCATGTGTGTGTATACTCCCCTCCCCCCCCCCCCCCCCCCCCCCCCCCGCCACACACACACAATTAATGATAAGTAAAAATCAAATTTAAAAAAGTAAAGTCTCTGGCGGGGAGGAGGCAGAAATCTTTAATAAATTAATTAATTAATTAATTTTAAATAAATAAATAAATAAAAAGGTTGCTCCTAAAAAAAAAAAAAAAAAAGTAAAGTCTCTCTGTATTTGCACAGTAATTCCACTTTGGAGAACTCAGAGAGATAAGAAACACAAGCAAGGATATTTCTATGGACCAAAAGTATCCATTAGAGAGCTAGTGGTGGAGCCTCACATTTGTACCCAGGATCCTGAAAGGCTAAGGCAGGAAGATCTTAAATTCCAGGTTGGTCTAAGCTATACAACAAGACCTTTTCACCAAGAAACCAAGGGTTGGGGGTGTGGCTCAATGTGGAAAGTTTGCCTAGCCTGTGAAAAACCCAAGGTTGGATCCCCAGCACCACAAGACGGAGCAGGAGCAAAAACACACAAAAGATGAGAATGGTATTTGGTATGTCTATCCTGCAGCACAGCTCAGCTTGGTCCGCTGTGTGCATGTGAATGTGTGCATGAGTGTGTATGTAAGAGGGTGTGTGTGTGTGTAAGACTATTAGTGTAGGTAAGAGAGTGCGTGTGAGTGCATGAGAGTATATATGAGGATGAGTGAGTGTGTGTGTGTATAAGTGTGTGAGAGAGTGTGTGTTCTCTCCCAAATACTGGTGATTTTTCAACATTTCTTCTAGTTATTTAATGGTTCCAGCCAGATTTTTTTTCTGCCCGATAGTTTTTACTGTTTCTATTTCTCCTCTTACTGTTTTGTCCATAGCTTTTAAAACAAAAGTGAAGGGACTGGGGATACAGCTCAGTATTTAGTAAAGTGCTTCATAGTGTGTGAGGGACCCTGAGTTTGTCAATCCTTAGCACCACAGGAGGGAAAAAAAAGAAAAAGAATGAATCTTTGTTTCAAGAAAGAGGAGCCTCTACAGGAACATCAGAAGTTCAAGGTCATCCTTGTCTGCTTAGTGAGTCAGGCGCCAGTCGCAAATCAGTAAAAGACAGAAAACTTAAAAAGTTAAAATAAATAAAAGAAAATGCCTCTAGTACATGGTTGTATATCTAAATTTGATTTAAAGCACAAGTATATCTATATTTGATTTTAAGCTAAGAGAAATTCCAGATGGCTGAAACCCTTAGTACAACCATAGAAAAACTAGAATGTCACAAAATAGAAGACATATCAAAAAGCCTGAGGGAGCTGGGTGTGGTGGTGCATGCCTGTGGCTCCAGCATGCAGGAGACTGAGACAGGAGAACCCTGAGTTCCAGACCAGCCGGGGCTGCTCCTTAAGACTCTGTTATATATATACACATAGCATAAACAAATCTAAAGCTTCCAACACTAGGGTAGTAGAAAAAGAAACAATTTGTATAAAACATTTGTAGAGAATACTGAGAACACAGGGAAGCATACAGAACATTAAGAACAAAGCCGAACAGATACACAAACAGTAGAAGAAACTAGTCAAGAAACACGGGAAGTACTTCCACCTCACTCCTAATTGAAGACTAAAAGTAAAGCCGGTTCTCCATCAAGTAAGTCAGGTCCATTACCAAGCCTGCTCACAGGACGGGTAATGAGGTGCTGGAGACTTGGGACTGCAAAGAGAACTGACATTATGTGTTCTCTCCTCGAAAAGGGGTTAAGGACCTGATGTTGGTGATTATGTAATTATTCTGAGTTAACCATCTTACCCTGTGTACACACCTCAAAGCATCGTGCTATGCACTATTGACACAGAGTTTCTCTTGCCAATTGTTAAGTCTTATAAAACCAGGGCCAGTGGGCTCATGAGACAAGAACACCCAATCTGCTCTCGGAGAGTTCTTAAATGTGTATATGCAACCTGACATTATTGTTTGGAAAGAAATAACCAATGAGGATTGTAAATAATAAAAAAAGAATAATAATCAAACCCAGTGGAGTTGATTTATGAAGAAAAAAAGAAAGGTGCCAGGTCTGAAGGCACACACCTTTAATCCCTTTAATTCCAGCACTCGGGAGGCAGAGGCAGACTGTTTCTGTGAGTTCGAGGCCAACCACAGCTACATAGTGAGGTCCTGTCCTAAAAACTAAAGAAAAATGGAAGAGAGGGATGGAGGGTACACATTTAAGATGGGATGATGACTACCCAGGTACCTGCACTTCCTAAAACTAATTCAGCCCTTGAAATGGATGCACCTCACTATATAACTTACTTTTAAAGTAAAACCAGAAAGTCACTAAAAGAGCTCTTCCTTTTGTTTTGAAAACACGATTCCACTCATGGAATTATATATTTGGAAATAATCAGAGCTGAGAACAATGACTTAAATACAGTGAAATTGGGGCTGGGGATGGCTCAGTTGTTAAGAGCATTGACTGACTTCCAGAACTCGGGTTTGATTCCCAGCATCCAGATAATGGCTCACAACCATCTGTAACTCCATTCTCAGGGATTCAAGGCCCTCTTGGGTGCCATGTGGCACACAGACATACATGCAGGCAAAGGACCCATTTACATAAAGGGAAAGAAATACAATTTTTAAATAAAGTAAGTTAGAAAAATACAGGCATTTTCACTACAGTGTGCTCACTGGAAAACGCAATAGAGCAACAGTGTCTCCACAAAAGACTGGCCCATCTGATGATATATTCAATTATTAAAAGTCAAGTTCTGAGCATTATTCTAAAGCCAAAAGGTCTTGTAATAATACTTACATTATTAAAAAGAAAGAAAGAATACAGCAGGGTGTGGAGGGGTGTGTACCTAGCACTTGGTTGCAGAGTCAGGTACATCAGTTCAAGGCCAGCCTGGTCTATATAGCAAGTTTCAGGCTAGGTAGTCCTAGTAGCCCTAGCTCAAAAACAAACAAGCAGAATGCAGAACTAGAATTTCTTTATTGGGTGGGGGAGAGGTGTTGTTTTGTTTTAAGGTTTTTGTTTTTGGGACAGGGTTTCTCTGTATAACATTCCTGGTTGTCCTGGAACTTACTTTGTAGGCCAAGCTGGCATTGAACTCACAGAGATTCGCCTGCTTCTGCCTCCTAAATGCTGGGATCAAAGGCGTGCAAGCTGCACTGCCCATCCAGAACTAGAATTTCTGATTGTTTACAACATACCAGTAAGTTTACAATGGTTTATATTATAAGGATTCTGGGGAATTACAGATTCTTCTTATACTTTCTAATTTTCTGCAATACACATACTTAACTATATCATTAGAAAATAATTATAGATGAGAGGATTTTTTAAAGTGTATTTAATCCATTTTCTGTTGAAACAAAACTTGGTCCTGCTATGTGTGGGAAACTGGTGATTCTGGGCTCAAGAAGGAAGAATACTGTAAACCCATCCTACTTGTGGGTGTGGGGCCAAGCCCCACATGCTGGACCCTTCCTGGGTCTGAAGCTAGCTGAACTCTCCCTGGGTTTGAAGCTAGCTGGACTCTCCCTGGGTCTGAAGCTAGCTAACTAGGGTCAAGCCCCACATGCTGGGCCCCTCATGGGTCTGAAGTAAGTTAATCATCTTTAAAGACCATCTCCTTAACAAGATCAAATCTCTAATTCTCCACTCTCCTCCTCAACTACATGAGCCTTCACGGATGAATTTGTCAAAAGGATTCTGGGTCTTCGTTCCTCTCCTGCTCCACCCCTCTCCTGGGATGTCATTTTCCTTCCCAGGCCTGGAGTCACTATCTCCCATCTTCCATGTCCTTGGCTGACACTTCATCTTTCATAACCCAGCTCAGGGCAAAGGGACCTCACCAGGGAAGGCCGAACTGCTCCTCCAGACAAATCATACCCTCTTGTCACAACATCCAGAGCACCTTGTATTTTTCCTTTCATCTTATCACCAGTTCTAATTGAGGGCCTCTGTGACCCACGTCGACATCCATTTCTCCTCTAGAGAGGAAACTTGTGGGGAGTATGCTCAGATTTAGACTCAGACTTGGCCCTCGGTCCCAGGATCTGGGTTTGCACTGGCCACTCATCACACAGTCCCTGTTCCCGATAGACTGTCTCCACATTCAATAAGCACACGTTGACTAGGTGAAAGCTTCCATACCCATAAGAGCCCACCTAGATTTCCATCCCTAATATTTAAAAGTCGGGATTCTAAAATCTCCTCTACCTTCCAAATCTGGTCACCTGAGAGTCTCCCAAGGGAACCCCAGATTACATCTCCTTCATTAACAGCTTGCTTATCGTTCAGTTTCCCCAAGGCACTGGGAGCTCCCAGGGCCTGGGGATTCAGACAGCAGAAGAGAGGAATTCCTGGTGAGTCACTGGCCGTGATTACAAATGTGAGTGTTCTTCCAAGCCGCTTGCCACTCTCACTGCTGTAGCAATGGGGTGGGATCGCATCTGGTAAAGGCAAGCTTACTCAAAGATCACCTCCCTTCCTGCTCTAGGGCTCTCTGCAGGAAGGAAGTGTAATTCCAGAATAAACATTCCCCAGGAACCAGGCATGTTCTCGGTGCTCTATATATAGCTCACTTAACACAACTACCTTATAATGAAGTAATGGTCATACAGTTCGATTTTACAGATGAGGAAAGATTAATCTGCATAAAAACCATAAAGCCCAGAGACCTTGCTCTTTCTGTGTGTGTGCGCCCACCAGTGCATTCAAGCGTATATGAGCACCAAACAAGTGTGTTCCTCGTGGCTTTTTTTTTTTTTTCAGACAGGATCTATCATTGAATCTAGAAGCTCACAAGTCGGCTAGACTGTCTAGCCAGAAAGCCCCAGGGATTCACCTGCTCAGGTCCCCCTAGTGCTGCAACTACAGGCCCACAGGGAAATGATAGGTCTGTCTGCATTGGGTCACTCACTCATTTGACCGTTTTTCCTTTTTACCTGGGTTCTGGAGCCAGAACTCATATCCTCAAAGCCTGCATAACCAAGCGCTCTGCCAAGCACTGAGTCATTGCCTACAAGACCACTATACTACACACTGCTACTATATTTGAAAAGCAACGGTGGCCTAAAAGTGACACTAAAGACATCGTGTGAGGACTGGAACACGGTGCTTCTCCAGGAAACGGAGGTGGGGGAGGAAGGCAGTGGCTAGCATCCTAGCCCTTGACACAACAAAGGCTGCTTTCTCCGGCTGAAACTCAAGATGTTTATGGAATGAACACTGACAGTCATGCTTGCCCTCGCCTCAATAACAATCACTAGTCCTCGGGATGCTTCAGCTCTCTGTGCTGAGCTGCGGTTTTACAGCAGGAAGTAAGCCCTGTGCACCAATTATCAGGAACGTTTTCATCCGTCTCTTGTACTTTAACCCATTCTCATGCCCTCACAGCATCCCCAGCTGTAATCTTGCAGATAACAAATGCTCACATACTGTCAGGATTTAATATGAATTAAATTAAGGGACATCATCTCTAAATTAGCAATCTCGCTGACTCCTTCCCCCCTCCCATTTGTCACAGTACCTGACCTACTGGTTCTCGGCAGCTATTGGGCTTAAATAACCCAAAGCCACGGTGTCCAAGGTCATACATGATCTGAAGACTCTCTCCTGCCTTCAACACGCATCACCTTCAGGCCTATGCCCTTTCTACTTACTGATCACTCTGCCTGGATTTTCCCTAGATCTTGGCCTGGTTGTGTCCTTCTCAACATTGTTCTCCACGCCTGTACCACCTCCTTCCCCAAACCTTGGCCTTCAAAACTTCCCACTCTGCACCCCTCCAGATCCGAAGCTCTAACTCACCATGTCCCGCAAATCCACACTCCCTCAACAACTGCTTGCTAAACACAAAACTGCTGGATAAACTTAAGGCTGCCAGCTCTCTCCACCCCAGCTCAAAATACCAGGGAGAAACTAATTCTAAAAGAAGGCATTTGCAAGTGACAATGTTAACACGTCACCTCAAAACAAAGGCGATAACCGGTGGCTGGACTAGCTAAGTGTTATCTACAGAGGGCCCCCCACCTCCCACCCGCCGGGGAACCTGGCTCGGCTTGGTGGTTCACACGCTTTTCAGGAACCGAAACCAGAAGGATCGGTGGAGGCTGCGGACCGCCGGCGCTTCTGGCGCTGCCTACCTTGAACTCAGCGGAAAGTTGGGGCGTGTATTCGCGCGTCCAGAGCGCGCGCACCAGCGCCGCCAGCTGCTCGGTGACCTCGGCGCGGCCCGGCGCCGCCCGGTAGCGCCCCAGAGCTAGGAACTCGGCCAGCAGGTCCGTGTTGCTGAGACACTGCACCACGGCGTTCATGAAACAGGTGTTGCCGTGGTTCTTCAAGCCCTGCGCGCCGGGCGGCCGCGCCCCGTCGCCCGCAGACAGCTGGGGCTGGGGTCCCGGAGGACGATCCGGCCCTGGGCTCCCGGGAGCGGCCGGTGCCGGTGCCGGGGCGCAGGCGAAGCCCCCGTCTCCATCGCCATCGTAGGGGCCGGACTGGGTCGGGGGCCGGGACCGGGGTGGCGAGTCCCCTGAGCGGGAGTGGCTGCCCAGAGCTAGCAGGAAGCGGCTGAGCAGGCGGCGCAGGGAACGCCGGCGACGGGGCCGGGGCGCGGGCGGCCCCTCTCCCAGAGCGTCCCCGACTCCGGGATCCATGCTGGCCGAGCACGGTGGTCCGGGAGCACAGCCCCCGGGGTCCGAAGCGGACCGGCAACTCCCCGACCCTCACCGCCTCTGAGAGGCGTGGGGCGCCGGCTACCTGAGAGCCAGGTGTGCGGGCACCGGGCGAGGGCGGAGCCAGGGGCGGAGCCGTCCCGCCGCCGCCCCGCCCCGCCCCGCGCGGGAATCCGGCCCTGGGGCAGCGCCCGCCGCTGGGCTCCCGCCCCCGCGGCCCCGGCTGGGAACGCAATCCCCTGGAGCCCGCCTAGAGGACTTGCCCGCCCTTCCTTCCCGCCTTGGAACAGGCCTTTCCCCTCTGTTCGCCTTCTCCGCCCATCCCTACGCTGCGGAGACAACCCGGGGATAGAAAGCAAAGCCCAGGCTCTGTTTAAGTTTTCCTGGTCTTGGGAACCAGGTGAAGACGACGAAAAATGACCGGCGAGCGGTGTCCCGGGTGACTCAGGTTTGCCGAGAGGAGCGCGCTGGTAGCTAAGCCGGTAGGGAGTCCAGGTTCAGGTGCGTGCGGTCAGGTGGCGCCACTTCCTTTGCAGGCTTTGCCTGCACCCGTCTCTGCATTAGAACTGGGAGTACTAGTGGGTAGGGGTTTGTTTTTATCTTGTTGTTGCTGTTGTTTGTTTGTTTGTTTTTCACACTAGGATACAGTAATTTTCCAAGAACTTGGGAGACTTGATTGTCCTGGTTTTCATCGGTGAAGGGAACTCGGAGAGGTTAAGGCAACGAAATGAGAGAAACCGGAACTCGATCCCCGCTGGGTGCACTGCCGAGTTCCAGCCCTTTAAACCCCAGAATTTGCTCGGCAGCAAGTTTGCCGGGTCTCAGGCGCGCCCCCTACTCGGTTGCTGTTTCATTCCTCCGTGTAAAATCCTGGCGTTATCGTCACCCAATCAGAATTAGTTTGGCCTTGCCCCTCCCTTTATTCCCTGGGTAACCCTGGAGGCCTTGGCTCCTTTTATCCTATAACTGTCAGGTTTATAATTAATCAGGCAAGGTCTTGCAAAATGAATTTCTCATCAGTTTCTAGCTCAAAAAGAGATCAGCAGCTTTCTGGAGTCAGTATTACGTCAGTACTCAGAAATGTGACTTGCTATTTAATAAGTGGTCATCATTTATTAAATATCCTCCTCGTTCTTTCACATAGGACTGCAGCAGTTCCCGGTGCCAAAAAGCTGCACAAGTTAAGGATAAAGAATAGCCTTTAGTGTCCGAGACTTAAAGTGTAAAAGGTCACCATTTACCCCCCCCCCCAGAGATACCCGCGTGGTTGATTAATTCATAAGATTCATTTCATCGCCCTGCCGATGGTAAGTATTGAAGGTGTCATGGTCTTGGCTGGCTCTAATTTCACTTCTGAGACCATTCCAAGATCCTCAGTAACACACAGGGATTTATTGGGAGGGGGGGGATTGTTTAGGGGTTTTGTTGGTTTTGTTTTGGCTTGGGGGTTGGTGAAATGGAGTCTATCTCCGCTTGTGTAGCCCAGGTTGGTCTGGCACACTCAGTCTTTTACCCTTAGCCTCCCGAACGCTGGAGTCCTGGGTGTGTGCCTTCACGCCTGGCTGACACAACTCAGGAAGCATTTGGTGTTTAACTCTGTCCGGAATGCCGCTGGTGCCTTACCAGTTCAGCTCCCTCACGTCTCACAATAAAGGTCTGAGTGGAAATTTATTCTTACTTGGCCAAGTAGAAAACCGAAGCTGAAATTGTTTTATGAGCTCGTTGTATAGGCTAATTTTGATAGTTAATCTGATCACATTAAGAAATCACCTAGGGATGGGAGGGCAGGTAAAGGTGCTTGCTCCCAAGCCTGGGGACCTGAGTTTGATCTCTGAACCACTTGATGGAAAGAAAGACCTGGCCACTCAGACGGTCCGCTGGCTCTATACATGTGCTGCAGCATGGGCGTATGCACACACACAATAAATAAATAAGGAAATAAAATTTTTAAAGATCACCTAGGAGACTGAAGGGTGCCTCTGGGTGAGACTGCAAGGGTGGTTCTTGAGAGGATTAATTAAGTTGGGAAAGACTCACTCTAAATATGAATGCTACCGTCACGTGGACCAGGGACCTGGAGTAAATAAAGGGGGTGAGCACTGGCTTCCTCTCTCCTTCCTTCCTGGGGTGATGGGCATCCATGAGCTTCACTGTGCCAGCCTGGGGCAAAGCCAGCGTGAATCAAACCATGGGAAACGCTGTGCCAGAGTAAGTCATGTTTTATGTTGTTTCTGTCGGGTATGTAGACAGCTGTACGAAAGTAACTAATACACCTGCCCAAAAATGTGGGTTCAAACCTAACCGCTCACGCTGCTGCACCAGTGAACTGATAAATTAAAGGGTAAGTTTGAGCTAGGGAGATAGCCCAGTGGAGCCACACTTACCTAGCCATGCCTGAGGCCCTAGTCCCATCCCCATGACCACACACACTCATTTTGTTTTTACAAGAAAATAGCATCCCTCCCTGGGGACAGATCAGGAGGAATGCCTGTGGATTTGGGGGGACATAAAAAAGAGATTATGGCCAGAAGACAGCACCTTCAAATTTATTAATAATTAAAAACTCAAAAAATTATATTCTGGACAATTTTTTTCTATAACAGTTCAGTTTCAATGTACAATGTGAGATTGTAGATTATTCTATAAAGGAAAGGAGAAACTTCAAGATAAAGGATTTTGACTACAGAATGAAAGTAGCCGGGAGAAGTCAAGACTGGTGCTGGGGCCTATCCATACTTGGTTGCTTCACGAAGCAAATGGGTACTTCCATCTCAGAATGGCTCCGTCTGCACTCACACTGATGATGTACTGGTTTCCTGGACTAACCCGGATGCCCATGATGTTGCCACTGTGTCCCACCCCGACGTGAGTCACTTCACCCTCGTTATAATCCCAGACTTTGACCAGATGGTCATGTCCCCCTGAAAAACAAGTACATGACATGGTTGACATAGAACAGTGAAACAGCCCCGACCTCACATAACTGCTTCATTTTCAACACAGTCCCCCATATGATGCAACTTGAAGAAAGAAAAATCCATTATTATATAAAGCTTTTTCTTGACCTAAAAAAAAAAAAATCTTTGTATGTTGTAGTAAATTTAGAATGGAAAGGAAAATGTCACCCAGAATTAACCACTAACCACACCCTAACTGTTGGTCCTTCCACTCTTTTCTCCACAGATGCAGAGGTATAGCCGCACACCTGTGTGTGTATTAGCATCCCACTGTGTCTGCTTTAATTTCTTTTTCTAAGTCAGTGTGTTTATGGAACTTTGATTTATTTGAAGCGCTTATTAATGTCCTGAAGAATCAAAGAGCCTGGCAGGAAGTTGTATTAATGCTGTTCTAGTGGCCATGTCCCGTGGTAAATGCCCCAAAAAAAACATTAACGAGTTCATTCACAGCAAGGAGTTGAGGCATCACATTCTTCAACAATAACAACAAACAAACAAACAAAAAACTGGTGGCTCATACTTAAGTAAAAAAGACAGCCGAGGAGGTGGGAATGGGGGGCCTACCTACCTCATATCCTAGTGCTCAGGAGTCTGAGGCAGGAGGATCACAAATTCAAGTCCAGTGGGTGCAAGACCCTATCTCAAAACAAAAACAATAAAAACGACCAAAATGGAGAGGAAAGCACCTCGAAGGCTCGGGACATTTGAAGGCTCATGGTCTACCCCAAAGAGGAAACCTCACAATGTCAAGCTCGTCTTCTCTCTTTGCGCTGTACAAATGTCTTCCCTCGTTGAAGTGTGACTTTTCCCACCATGGTGGTGGGCTGTTTGGGCTGAATGTTACCCAAGCTGTCCTTGAGATCCTCTACTGGCTCTTCTCATTGACTCTCACCTAAGACTTCCTTGTCCTCTGAAATAAGGAACCCTGGGGGTTTTCTTACCTTACTTGGGACTGGGACTAACCTGTCACAAAGTGTCCTCCTTCCTGAGTGATGTCCATACCATTGATCGACCCAGACAAGGAACCTTCCAACTCTCTGATTACTGACCCATCAAATACTTCCCAGTAAGCAATCTGGAATACAGAAGGGCATCAGACAAGAGTCGGTGCAGTGGAACCATCCACACACATGCTCGCAAAAGATGCCTCCACTTTATATAGAAGGTAGCAAAAATACACCCTGGGAGGGGATAAGTTGGAATTATAAATAGGCCATGGCGAGGGGGTGGTGAAACCATTTTATTATTTTTAGTATTGGTTTTGAAATTTGCATGCTATTTAAAGAGATGTTGATATGCCATAAACCTGGATAGTGACAGAAAGAGATTTTTTGATAAGGCGAAGCAGATTGAGTCTGCTGCAACATGGAAAATAAAGAAGAGAACTACCACTGGGGAAGTCTGCGTCTGCGCTCTGAGGATGAGGGCCAAACTGCAGGCCTGGTGGGAGGGAGAGTTCCTTCTGGCAGGGTTTGGGGGACGGGGCTTTGTGCCAGTCCGACTGGACCCTGTCTCATCTTTATCCATCACTAGACCCTAACTTGTCTTTCTGGTCCAAAGCGACAACATATTCCGTAGGGTGGGATTTAAAGAAACTGAACACCTAACCTTGTTCTCTGCCTGGAAATGGGACACCAAGCTGGGAGAGACTGGTGCTGAAATGGGGAATCAGTCCTCTGGACTGTTAATGTAGGGCCATAGTATCACCCATGGGGGTCAGCATGCAAATATGCTCGAGCCCCCATATGAGATGACACACTATCTACATATAACCCATGCACATCCTCTATCTGTATACTGTAATAAATTGTTCGGTAAGGATGCGATCCACCCACCCCTCCCCCCACTTCAAGCATTTGCAGGCGTTCACAGTTGATCGAATCTGCAGACACGGGGCTCTGGACGGTGGAGGGCCATCAGTGCTCACCTTCCTGTCTGTGCCACTGGTGATGATCTGGAATTCCTCGGGGTGATAACAAACACACTGGAATAGGGTGTTGGCCAGGATCATCTGATTCCTCCTAAGTCGCCTGGAAAGTAGATTCAAACACTCTTGAACTCAACTTTTCCCTCCCCTAGAAAACGTTTTTATTATGCGCCGTGCAGCTGGGCAAGCTTGGATGGGGTTGGTTTTTTCTTAGACGTCTCATGCTGCTCGCACGGTAGCACCTGGTTTGGTTTGGTTTCTGTCAAAAACAGACACTGGGGGACTGCAGGTTCCGTTTAGGAGCAAGTGCTTCTCTGTGCAAAGGACCTGAGTTTGGTTCCTAGAACTGGCATCAGGCCGCTCACAACTGCCTATAAATCTAGCTCCAGGAAATCTGATGCCCTCTTTTGGCTTCACATGTATACACACATATGTTTTGTTTTGTTTTGTTTTGTTTTTTTTAAAGAAAATTTTAAAGTAGACTTCTGGCTATTCTGCTCTGTTCTTACGTCTCCTCCCACCAGAACTGTCAGCAAGAGTCGGAAGACAAGGGCTAAGGATGGTACCCCCTTCTAGAGACTTAGCTGAATTCAGAGCCACACTACCACCTGTCGCAATAATCTGGATTCTCAAGGCCACCGTTGGGACCAAGTGGCTCCCCTGTAAGCTGAGCGGCAAAGTGTGGGGGAAAGACTGCTCTAATGAATATTACTGGGCCCACCCCTAAGGTTCTGGAGTCAGAAGGTTGTGATGGAAGCCCAGAGATCTGTATGTGTTTGAAACCAGCCTTCCCATCGATGGTTATATGCACACAAGTTTGAGAACCTCTTGCCTTAGACACCGTAGACAAGCTTAGGCTACTTCAAACTTTGGTGGATTCAGGACTATGCATAGGCTTTCCGGCTAAACATCCCTGATCTGAAAAATGGAAGTGGAAATCTGAAACTTTTGTCAGTACTAACATGACGCATAAAGAAATGTAAAGGTTTGGGGTTTTAGGGGTTTTGGGGCCTTAAGATTGGGGATGCTAAGCCTGTGCAAGAAACACGGCTGTATTGCTTCTTCCAGAGCTGGTACGCCGGTGGTTGTCTCACGGGCCCAGCCTCTGGCTGGAAATGCACCTTCTGCAGTGTCTTCTCATAATGGAAGCTTTCAAACCCAGGGTTTGAGCAGAGGATTTTTAAACATTTTTGGCACGAATTAAATATGCTTGCTGCACAAAAGGAAGGTGTTAAAGATGTGAGGTAGTCACAAGCCACCCCGAAAATAAACTCAGATCCCCCTTCTCAGTACACAGTTTCCCAGTGGGACAGTCATGTGTCCATGGGTCTAGGCCTTGGCCCAGCGACACCTCATGGGAACTTATTAGGCATGCAGAAGCACAGGTGTCTTCTAAATCTATTCGATGAAAAGCTGTCTACAGAGCTGGGCATGGTGGCACATGCCTTTAATCCCAGCACTTGGGAGCCAGAGGCAGGTGGATCTCTGAGTTCCAGGACAGCCTGGTCTACGAAACAAATTCCAAGCCAGGCTATTACACAGAAAAAACCCTGTCTAAAAAACAAACAAACAAAACCAAAAAAAAAAACAAAAGAGCGTATAAACAAGATCCCACAGTGACTGGAGATCCGAGTAGGGAGTCCGGCCCACTTAGGAAATAAGAGCTCACTGTGCTTTGGGGTTTTGTTTTGTTTTGCTTTGCTCGTGTGTGAAGGTGTGCATGCATGTGTGTGACTGTGCAAGTGGAGGCCAGGGGTTGACATTGGTTGTCTTCCTCAGCCACCCTCCACATTATGCTTTTTTAAGACAGGCGCTCTCTCTCTCTCTTCTCTCTCTCTCTCTCTCTCTCTCTCTCTCTCTCTCTCTCTCTCTCACACACACACACACACACATACACACACACACACACACATAGAACTGACTGGTTCAGCCAGAGCAAACCCTCAAGATCCTCTGTCTCTACCTCCCAAGTGCTGAGATCACAGGCATGCACCACCATGCCTGGCTTTTATGTGGATTCTGGGGATTTGAAACCGGGTCCTTGTGCTTACTTACACTCCACCAGCTAGACTGTATCCACAGCCCTGCTTTGCACTTTTTAGTGTATTAATTTAAAGTGTTTTACTTTGCTTTCAGTCCTCACTCCCCTCTCTCTAGGAGGGAACATTCCAGCTGGGCATGGTTTCACATGCCTTTACCCACAGCTACTTGAGAGGCTGATGTGGAAGGATCTCTTAAGCCTAAGAAGTCAAGACTGGCCTGGACATCACAGTGGTACCCCATCTCAAAAAAGGAGGGACATAGTCTTTGACCAACTCTACCTCCTTTTTCCCTCTGTACTTAATTCAAACTCTTTAGACAATTATGCAAATTCCATGCATCACAGGAGTGATAGAAGGGTGATATGTTGAAGGAAGATTGGGGTGGGGTTGGGGCAAAGGTTTGATTCCAAAATAAAAACAGAGCAAAAATCCCAACAGCCAAAAAAAAATTTAAAAAATCATCTTTGACAATTCTCTGAATGCTCCTTTGATGAAGTTCACATGTTTTGGCCCTCACCGTTAGGCGTTGTCATCTTCTATGGGTCTGTGATTTACTCATAGTGTAAGCAGTCCCTGGAATGTGGTCAAATGAGGGGGCTGCCTCTCCCTCCCAGGGCAGGCTCATGACCTAGCAAGATGACATGAGGAACTGCCTGCCCTATAACTTTCCTTGTTAATGTTCAACATTTAGGTTGAATGGATTTGCATTAGATCACGCTTCACTGCATGTATCTGGAAAACTACTTCCCTGTCTGCCCAGAAACTTCTGATATTTGGTTCTTCCTGGAGACCATATTTCCCCCCCACTGGCATCTATAACCCTTGGACAGCCAGGGAGTCCAAAGCCTTCTAAGAAGCTTTTATTAGGGATAATTAATCTTGATGGTTGACTTGACTGGATTTAGAATCACCTAGGAGATATACTTTCTGGCATGTCTGTGAGAATGTTTCCAGAGAGTGTCAACTGGGTAGGAAGGACCACCCTGAATACACACTGTTCCATGAGCTGGGATCCTGAACTAGCTAAAAAGCAGAGTGAGGGACTGGAGCTATGACCCAGTGGTTAAGAGCACTGGCTACTCTTTCAGAGAACCAGGGGACCAGGGTTCAGTTTCTAGAACCCACATGGTGGCTCACAACTGTTTGTAACTCCAACTGCAGTTGATGTGGTGCCCTCTTCTGGTCTTTGCAGGCACCAGGCATACATGTGACACATAGACATACATGCAGCCAAAACACCCATGGGTGTAAAATAAAAATACAAAATTGGACAGTGGTGGCACACTCCTTTAATCCCAGCACTCCAGAGGCAGAGACAGGCAGATCTCTGTGAGTTCAAGGCCAGCCTGGTCTACAGAGCTATTGCCAGGACAGGTTCCAAAACTAGAGAAACCCTGTCTTAAAATCCAAATAAATAAATAAAAATACAGTCCCCCTCCAAAAAGCCTTTACGGGAGAAAGCAAGTCGCGAAGCACATGCATTTCAGACACAGCATGCCCAGTCACCTCACACCCTGCTGTCATGCCTCCCCACCACAATGGGCAGTATTCTCAAACTAGGAGCCCAAGTAAACCCTTTACTTCCCAACTCCTTAAGTTGTTTTTGTTAAATATTTTGTCCCAACAGCAAGGAAGTAAACTAATACACTCCTCTGGGCTCTCTGCTGTGCTCATCAGGATGCTGGGATCTTTGTAAGTGCTGAGTTAGCCTTCGTAGCCATCCCAGGTACCTACACAAGGTCCCAAATGATGCACGTCCCGTCGGTGCTGGCAGTGACGCACTCCTCATTGTTCTTCTTCACCCTGATACAGGACACAGATGACTTGTGCTCCTTTAGTGCCTCCTCCAACTTCTGGGTCTGGCAGCCGATCTGCCACACCCTTACCTGTGGGCCCCAAAGCACAGGCTAGCAACACAAACCTGGGACTTTGGAAGGGATCGAGGAAGACCTGGGGAGTGTTTCCCTCTCTGCTGGGTGTGACCATTTAATTCCC